TACACAAATTTTTGAATTACAATACAATTAATAGACAGCAATGCAAGATAGGATTTTCTCAGTTACCTCAAACTTTTGAGAGGTCAAAGGTTTACCCTTCAATACTGAGCTTCCAAGCTTGACTTTCTCAAGCTAAAATAGTATGCAAGAACTCAATCTATACGTAGAAATTTCTAAACTTCATTATCAATATCAAGCATATAATTTCCACTCTCATTATCCACTTCTACAATACCTAACATTCATAATTTTTACCCTTGGACTTATCCATTAGGTTTACTAACTTTCTTTAGTCTCCACTCTCTAATAATATTAATGAGTCATTAAACCCTCATTAATGGCATTACAACTTTTTCAACCATCTTGTTAATATCATTTTCAGATATTAATGACATCTACCAACCAAGGATGTCAAAACTTGTTAGTTATAAATTTAAATACTCTAATTAATTCTCATTACCTTCATTTGAGTCAATGGATTCAAACCCATAATCTATGTGGATCGAAAATCATCTCCTATTATTAAACCCTAACAAAAAACTTCATAAATGTGGAAGAGATTGGAAGAGATGGAGTTTAGGGCACTTACCTTGAGTGTTTCTAGTTTCAAAATACTCTCAATATCATCCAAGTACAAACCTTAGTAGAGCTTAGGTTGCTTGTTCTCGCTTTCTCCTTCTTTCTTTCTAATATATGTCTCAATTCGCAATTGTTATTCTACAAAAAATGGCTATGTGCAGTGGCGAACACTGAACGTGTTGTGGCTCATGGCATAGAGAGGTCTCCTCTCACGTTAGTTGTATCTGTGTGCTGTGGCGAGCATACTTCATGATGCGGCATGTGGTACAGAAGCACTTTTTCTTTGTGTTCTTCTTCTTTCGATGCTCGATTGGCCTGACTTCACACTAGACCCCCAATTAGAGCTGAAACATAATCAAAATTAGTCATTAAACCTCCATAACTACACACTATGTCAATCTACTTAATTATCATAATTATGTTTAGTTAATTCAGGAATTAGAATTCAAAATATTACATTATGCAATAAAATGGGAGTGAGTTTTAGTATTCCTTTCCAAGTGGGATTGACCAATCCTAAATATTGATGAGTCACTCACACCAAACATGTGAAAGGTGAGACTATTTTAGTCCAATTTCAATTTTTACCTTCCAATACTACGTATCAAACAATCCTTATATGTTAATTTGGCGGACACAGGGCACAAACCTTTCCTAGCGTGAAAATATTTAAAAAAATGCGTCATATTTATGAGTGATATAAAGTATAATTTATTTTAATTCTCAGATTTTTTTTTTATATTTTTAGAATACGCTATGAAGGAAAAGGCCTGAGAAAGACTCAACATCTAATCATTGGGATTTAATAGAGCATGAGGTCATTTCTAATTAAAATAATGCACTTCAGCGGTGGTTCTGACGTGATTTTCAACAAAACGGTTGAGGGTCAGTGGGCAAAAGTCAATTACTACAAATGCTATATATAAAAAAAAAAATCCAAGAGATTTTTCAATAACGCGTAGCATCCTTTTATATATCTCTTGTAGCGCTAACAATTAGTTGAATTATATCTTAAAGTTTTGAAATGTTAAACACCCAAATAATCAGGGCGGCACCAGAGGGAAAAGGTGGGGGTCAAATTTAAATAAAAATTAGTTTTTATATTGACAATTTATTTTTTATTATTTTTAATATTTAAAGTAAAAATTTAATTAAATTTTTTTACAGTATGGAATACATTAGATAATAGTCATTTAAAATTATATCGTTTTTTAAAAATAAAAAATTAAAATTAAGTCATATATTTAATTTATGCATATGATAGAAACACTAAAAAAAACTACATGCTTGATGTACTGAAACTAATATTAATCAATAATATATGCACATTTAAAAATAAAAATGAATTCATTAAAGTAATTACTCAATTTTTATAATAATAATAATAATTTATTCAATAATTTTTTTTACAATCTAGTGAAAAACTAACATATACATTAACTTATACTTTAACATATTGAAATTCACTCTTTTATATTAATAAGAAATCATATTCATTATGCATCAATAATAAAAATATTTTTATAAACCAATATATTATACATTTTATATTTATTTATTTAATAAATGACTAAGTAATTAGAATTGTACATAATATGGAAATGGGAATGACCGTTTGTGACTTTGCCTACAAATACATTTGTGAGGGGAAAGGGGGGCAGGACTTTTTTTTAAATAACGTCACCGTCTTGGTTACCTGAATCATCTATATTCAATTTAATTCATCAAGCATTTATTTTTCTTACCAACAAAGATTTATCTAATTAATAAAAAATTTAACTGATAATTTAAAAAATTACATATTTAAATCCCATTATTGATGTAAGATTTTGTTGATAAACAATTAATTTATAAGCATTTTTTGAGTGTGAAGATATGTCTTGATTTTGAAAAACTTTTGAGATTTAGGCCATTTAAACTTTTGGTTATAAAAAAAGTATTTATTTCTTTCCATCTTATATGATGATGAACCTAAAGTTTTTTACATATGTTTCTATTTTTTATATATATTAAAAAAATTTATGTAAGGTGAGTTCAACTACTCATTGAAATTAAAATATATTTATAGGTCTAATGAGTATTTATAAAATTATTTATAAATTACTTGTCAATGAGATTGTCGTATCCATGACAAAATTTATTTCAAAATCTTTTAAGTTACAAGCCATGTCTTTTCAAATAAGCATGCCTTTGAATCCCTCAAATCTAACATCTTCACTGACAGTCTATGCAAATAAAAACGCAATATCCCTTTCCCTGTAATGCCCTCTATCAAAAGCTTTATTACATCTATTTTTTCAAAGCACATCCAACAAATTTTGCCTTTGCCAAGATAACCTACCAGTCACACCGCTTTCCACATCAGTTTTAGCATTCCATGAAAAAATTAGAAAAGCAACACAGATCAGCATCATCTTCAATCTACTGATAGTCACCATGCTTGAACTGTTGTTTCTCTTTACACGAAGTAGAGAACACAAAATCAAAGATTGTCTTCCCTCAACAAATTTCTCCTGTGTAGCTTGGGCTAACATCCCCTTCAACTCTTTCCCATAACACGAGAAACACGCTATCACATTTTTGGCCCACCATCTTCCTCGAAAGAACCCAAGCATTGAAATTAAAATTATTAATTTAACGAAATAAAGTGAATTGATTTATTTATGTTTTCTTAACAAGACATTCATATATCTCTGCAATAATTATGTCTTCTTATTGTTTTGATCAATGATGAATTATTTATAAGAGACAGGAAATTTAGAAAGTAGAAATTTGGACATCCTGAAATATCATAAGAAAAGTAAACAGCAGACAGCTAAAGTAAGCTTGGAAAAATTTTGACCGGTCATACTTGCCATATCCTCCATAAGCTTTGATATTGAAAACCTTGTGCTTATTGGTTGTACCAATCAAATTGAATTTACCAATTGATAGAGGCACGTTAATACAGGTACAGCACGATGTAGTTTTCCTTGGCATTTAGTTTCCACTCGTCATGATGGTTAAAACTAGTGGCCTCGCGGGCAGGTATGGGATGAGATATGTATGTCTTGAAATATTTCACACACACACACACACACTTTGTTTGCTTGTACATGCCCCGGTGGAAATCTTACATATGCCTTTTATAAAGTAAATGACATCATCAACACCAAAAAAATCTTTTGTCCCCCGTTTCATTCTTTCCCTTTTATTTATTTCATTTGTCATGATTATTAACGACAATAAATCTATTTATCAATTCCACCGTCATACATAACCAAACACGATTTTCTGATAGGTTCTTGCTTGAGAACATCGTAAGGTGAGAAAAGAGCCCTTGAGAAATTATTGTATGAATACTGTGTTCCTCATCATTCATATTTCATCTAATAAAAACATAACATTTAAATGATATTAAATATAAATTTATTCTATTATTTTAAATAAACATTCTAGTATAAAAATAATGACACGTAACATTTTACTTTATTAAATTGATATAATATTATTGGATGAAATTTGAATGATTAGGTGAAGGTTCACGAAAGAATTGCTCTCCACCCACTTATTTCAATCCTTTTCTCTTCTCCTGTTACAGTGGCATATTCAGGATAATTTCGAAAGCCCAAAGTCCAAAACCAGCCTAGGGTTGGATGCCACTTCAAAATCAATTAGGTCTCGTGAAATTCCATGTAAAAAACAAAAACCAAAAAACTATTTGACTAAAGACCACCAAAAACACCCCCTTTTTTTTCCAATAAAGTCCAACTAGACTTTAAAATTCCTTTGTGGGAGAAGCTATTTGAAGTTCCCAATGATAATCGATTGTTTCGAAACTCCATTTGATAATCAATTTTACTCAACTGCAATCTAAACACAACCTAAACTAGAGATGCTCTACAGAGAGAGACCATGTGGATGGCAAGGATTGGGTACAAATGGCATTATATATAGTGTTCTATGGATAATAGAAAGAACCCAAAGTGCAGAATTTTTGCCGGGGCTCTGACTCTGCCTCCATTCAAGTTTACACTATATGATGGGTTCTTCCTTGTCCACTCTTACGTCCTTACCTGGTAAGATTCTTTCCCTGCAGTATTTTCTCATTATTGGCAAAGATTCTCTGCTACAGTTATACACAAACATAACCTCATGGTACCAAGTATCTCTGTACAAGTCTGCTTCATAGCTGATCAGTTCAGGGTATTAGCTTCAGGTTCAGTATCATTTCTCTTCTCATGATTTCAATCTTTTGTAGCCGCACAGTCATTTGGGAAGAGAGAGATACAGAAATTTGTTGGCCCAACTTATCAAGTGAAGCCTGTTACAATTTGGATGTGTTTGGATTCCAGTTGGTTATAATTAATCATGAAAAAAATTGATTGATTATGATTGGTTATAAAAATTGAAATTGAGATTGAAAGGCCACCTTCCTCAACTTCATCCATAACACAGCTAACACTCAAATAATTAATTATAGGCAAAATGGAGTATCTGGTTTTTTTTTTTTTTTTACCCGAACGATGATTGTCTTTATAACAATCAATTAAATGGGTAATCCAATCAGGCATCTTGTCTGTCTCTTAACAGTACGAAGCAATCTGGAGTATGATTTTGGGAATCACAAGAAAGTTTAAAATGTTTGCTTTAATTCTGCATCACAAGAGCGACATACTTGACACAATTTTTGGGTAACAGCATCTTTGACTTCTTCTCATTTTTGCCTTGTGTGATTACAAATGAGGTTGCTCAAGATGATCCTGCTCATAATTAAACATGATCATTAACAGTGAGATCCAAAGCTTCAGTCACAAAAATCTTTACAAAGATGTCAACGCAAGTTCCATGTAAAAGTAAGAAAAACTATCCTTGCAATTTACTCTCTTTTTACATTTTTTTTTGGAAAAAAGAAAGAGTAAAATATTAAAAAAGAAACTGAATTAGCAGAGCAGAATAAGAAAAATACAGCAATCACACATCCCCAGCCTTAAGGGGAAAAATAAATACAAATAACAAGAAAAGAGAATATGAATTCTCTGACACCTGTCACTCATCCCAACACAAATCCACAATTTTTCGTCTCCCTATCCCACCAAACCAAACAAAAAAAAGCTTTTAACATACTGATTAAAAAAGGTTGTAACACGAACACAAAATGTGGAAATTGCAATTCAATCCCTGCATGTAAGTTGAAGTTAGGAGAAAAGGCACGTGACTTGTCAACTGAAGAGCTGCTCCTTCTCAATAGAAGCAAAGGGCACTGATGAATTGCCATTCATGTTGTTGTTGTTGACTGAATTCCCCCTCTTCTGCAGCTTCTGTTGCTCATATACGTGCCTTAGTCTCTCTATTTCCTTCTTCAGTGCTTCTTGATGTGCTGGTTTTTTTCAGGAAAAATATATAAAACATGAAAGCCACATTCTCAGTAATCATGGTGCTTTATATTAGTCTCAATCAAGATTACCATGTTAGACATTACTATAATATAGATGAAACGTCCTACATACAAAGCATATATCGATTTACATAGAAAAGAAATTGGTAGGTTCCTATTTCATCTGGACTTGGAAAAAAAAAAAAAAAGGCTTTGGCGACTTGTTTTAACATAGTAATAATATTTGACTTGTACCCTAATTTGTCTATCGGATGAAGAGAAAAATAGAAATAAAATAATATTAGGAGGAAAAATTGTCAGAAATAGTATACAGTTTTTCCTCCCTTATATTTTCTTTTTCACTCTTTTCAATCCAAATCAAACAGTAGTGTTTACAATCCATGTACATGTCATTAGTTGATATATGCTCTTTTTCTCTTTGTTTTCGAATATTTAAAAAAAAAAACTATTATGTGTTTCTTTGTTTTTATTTATAAGTAAAACTATAAATTTTAAGAAGCATTTATGACATTTTCCTCAAATTGTCCTCCTAAAGCCTATGTTTATTTTTATTAGACAAACTTATTTAATTAATTATATGGATAATTTAATCTAAATTCTTAATTTCAAATATAATCATTATACTTAATTAACATTTTTAAATTATGTGGATCACTTATTTTTTTTCTATATTTAAAAACGGAGGGGAACAAGTTAACACCATCAAAACCATGAAGAGAATATGATTATAGGTATTATTATAATTGAGCTAATTTATGTATGTAAAAGATTGTGGCTATTGTTATAATTGAGCTAATTTACGTATGTGAAAGATTGTGGCTTCCTGTACTTCTACATTTGATTTATACATGATTCATGTACCCAAGAAAAGAGGATGAGCATAGGGTGAGACCGTGAGAGTACCATCTTTGAAAATCTTGTCTTGGGCTAAAGCAGCAATGCGTTGCTTCAAGGCACTGTTGTTGACGTTGAGTACCAAACGTTGGTGGTCCAAGAATGCTACACGTGGCGACAACGCTGATACTTCCGTCTTCATCACACAATTGACATTAGTTTTAATTAAGGCTCATTAAACATAATAACTAAAAGAAATATACTACTACGCATTTTCTTTTGAAAATGAAATTTGTAGCGGCCAGCTTATATTAATTACAAGCTTATTCACCTGCAACGTCGTCACGCTCTTCTCCAGATCAGAAATGTACTGTAGCTTTCTCACCCTTGACCTTTGAGCTGATTGTCTGTTCGCCAATATTCTGAATTCTCCAAACAAATCGCTCATTAACTTATATGTTAATTATTATTAGGAACAAAGCATGGACTAATTCATTTGATGTGGTATCTCTAACTGCATCTCATGCAATGAAAAAGGGAAAAACCGAAAAAGTGAAAAAACATCCCTCTATGTCAATGTATGGTTTCACATTTAAATTGTGATTTAATTTTGGCGTCAGTTAACATTACCTTTTGACCCTTTTAGGATCGGCGATAGTTTCGACGCTGCTAGGGGCAACGGACGACGGCGGTGATGCTGTTTCATTTTTGCACGAGCTCTCCACCTCCGCTTGCTCACTTTTCTTTAGCGGTGGCTGCTGCTGCTGATTCTCTTTAACTGGGACCACTTCGTCTAATACCATTGGCTTCTCATCATTGTTGCTGTTTTGATCGGACGGTGTGGAAGCGTTCGACAATGCCTGGGGGAAGCCACCGGAGGAAATGTCGTCGGAGAACATCGACATAAACTGCTCCTCGTCCAGCCTGTCGAACCCATGGGCTCCCGCAGCAGAACCGGAGCTCCGGCATTCTTCGAGGAACGCGATGGAATCGCTTGCCGACCGCCGGTGAGCACCTCGCCGCGCTGACGAAAAGTCGAGGAACTCGTCGACCCAGGAAGGTAACTGTTGTGATGATGGTGGTGAAGAATTTTGTTGCTGTTGTTGTTGCTGGGTAGTGTCAGTAGGATTGAAATTAGCCATAGCTGACATCTTGTGATGAGGAAAAGAAGGCCAATTTTGTGGGATGCTTGGTATTTTGGGAGGTAACTGTGCCATTTCTAATGTATGTGATGTGACCCCAAATACACAAGATATATAACGAAAATACAGTGCGGGGAATGTGTTTCAGAAAATGAATGAGGGGGGAATCGCAATAACTTACAACTAACACAAACAACCTCAGCTGCAGGAACAATAATCTGATTCTTGGGCTTCTCAAACTCGGGGGAAGATAGAGATATTAAAGGGATGGGAGTTATAGAACCAAGTATGAGTCATAAAAACCTCATCTCATGAAGGTTTTTTATTGGCTCCTCTAGTTTCTTAGATTTTAGTGTGTGTGTTCGTTTTGATTGGTTTTTTCAAGGTCCAGATGTTTCGGAAGGAGGTGGGAACTAGGAAGGAGGGAATGGAATAGAGAAGAGAGAGAGGTAAGTCACATGGGAGGGGGATTAGAGACAGCTAGCAACAGCTAGGTGGTGAAAGACTCAACGGTTTTAGTGGAAATTTGGCAGTGTAATTTAATAACTAGAGGAATCAGCATCCACGTGCCGATGTGACCCATCTCCTTGTCATCCAGTTTCTCTTACATTACCATATTAAATCCATTCTAAAGCTTATATTATGCAGCTTACATGTTTGATAAAAAATATTTAGTGCATAGTACTACATACCAACTCGTGTGTCACTTCCGTGTCTGGCCCATTGTTTTTCCCTTGGTCACACTGTATCAGAACTGTTCAGTTGCTCATCTCTAAATCATCTTTTTTTCATTGTGCCATTTTGGCAAGCCTTTTTTTTTATTTGGATTTTTTCCCTGATGACAAGTGTTTGGAAGGGAATGGCACTCACCATATGTTCTCATGTTCGGATCAGATTGCCTGCTGTTTATAATTTAAGAATAATTGAGGGAATGGGTTTTTCATCATTCTGTGGGTGCGTAGCAAATTAGGAATCAATAAGCATGCAAACTATGCAGCTGGACAGACTGAAATGATTTAATGGATTAGTTTTTTGGCGTGCTCAACTTAATACATCATCCAGGTATTATTTTGAAACGATTGAGTGAGAATCAATAATAAGAAATTATAATTTTAATGTGATAAGAAAGTTCTTAATTAATCATATATAAGAAACACTGATGAGATAAAATAATTGGAGATCTCTTGGGCAATTTAATTTATATGGGGATAGTGGGAGTGGTGGGAAAATGGAGGACTTTGGCTAAGGATGAGCTGTGAAAAGCAAGGAGCTTGTAAGAATCATGTCCTTCTTCCCCCCATGTGAAACTGTTTCTAGGAGCCCCCAGCGTTCTTTGCTTTGTCCCCAAATCAGAATCACATGGGGATATTTGTGTCCCTGTTTTCCTCCCCTCCTCTCTCTCTGATTTTTTATTAACTTCCATCATTTCTTGCTGGCTCCTATGTTCTTTGTTTTAAGAAAAGTACTTAGAAGACACTAATAATGATTAGGGGAAAAGTTGGGATGCATGTTAAACCACCTATTGTTTAATAGTTGGCCGTATAAAAAAGTAAAGAAACACCACCCACTTTTGGTATGTTATCTTAAGACATGCTTGTAACTTCATTTCTTGATGCATAAGGAAAACTTAATTAAACAATGCAATGGGAGAATATTGGAGAAGCTTAAGATTCCCCATGAGACTTCAGGATGAATTCATTTAGGAACCTAACAGCTATCACGAGAATCGTAGACATATTCCCTCTAAGTAACTAGGGACATAATCTGATTCAACCCCATTTTAAGTGGTTTAGCTAGCGTTCCTAACGGTCAAATTAACATGATTCCGTTCCATATTCTTCATGCATAAATATTGCAATATGTAGATTTTAGATTATTGTCTCACTGAACATATTTGAATTTTGAGCCAAGAATAGTGACTCGGTTGATAGGTAGAGTTATATGAGCTAAAGATTTACGGTTCAATATCTATTGCACTCCACTCTCAAAAATTGGACAAATCTATCAGCCTCTTATTTTTTCTTGCAAAACCAACCGTTTAATTTGTTTTGGTAATTAGAAAGGTATACAAATCTATTTTAAAAGATTTTCTAGAAGCAAAGCAAGTCTCAACACTCTGAGAGTTATTTGCTAACTGGGTCCTTACATTGATAATGAGAGGCAAACCTTAATTATGATGTTTGTAGAGGAAGGGAAATGCTAACACACACACACACATCACGAAATTCTGATAAATGGATAATAATAAAAGGGGTTCGCATGTGCACTCCATGAGACGAGCTTACGACCAAGAGAATGGATAGAGATAAATTGTTGTAACAATGTATTGGAATTTTGCCATTTCTTTTGTAATCCCAAGAATTGTGTTTTGTGGTACCGTACGATAAATGGCAGGGGAAAGGGGAATATGGGAAGTGAATAGCATGAATTATAATTGCACGTGGGAAGAGCAAGTGAGTCCCCACCTGTCTTCCTCTTCTCCTTTATCATAGTGTTCGTTTTCAATAATATGATGAGATGTTATTAATGTTGAAGGCACTAAAAGTTAACGCGTAGAGACATTAATAAAAAAGAAGGAAGTTAGGTGACCATCATTTCATGTAGTATTTCTTCGTACTTATTTTTAGAGGAAATAGCGATCAAGTATTATTGAAGAGAATTTATAACAGACAAAGATAAGTGAATTTTTATTAATTTAAAAAAAGTTATTATTAAAATTCAAATGAATACTTATTAATAAAAAATTAATCTAAATCAATAAGTATTCATTTGAATTTTAACAATAAATAATTCTTGACTAATATAAGTTTTTTATAACAATTTTTAATTAATATTTTCCCTTATTTCTATCGATCAATATTAATTTAGAACATTTTTGTATTGCAAGCTTTTTTTATTTGTTGTTAATAGTGCAATTTATTCTCTGGAGAGGCTACCCAAAATGTTGTGGTTTTGAATTGATTATCTATTAGTTAATTTATTTTAGGGTGTCGACATATATACTTTTCTTTTGGGTGAAGGACATGTATGATTAACTTTATAAACAAAATTATTGTTGTTAATATTACAATAAAATTTTCTCCTAGCCTCCCAAGTTCTTGATTACTGAATTTAGATGTATGTATGTAATGTTGATTTTATTCACATTCTTGTCAAAATATGCAGATTAAATTCCCAGGTGCATACTAAACGGAGAAAGAAGCAAGTTTATTCTTAAAAAAAAACAATATGAATTATAGAGTGAAAATTATTATAAAAAAATATCTAGTTCAAGTCTAAAAAATACGATTGTGTTAAATATTTGGAAGGAAAGCTTGCCCTTAGGAAAGGGTCTAATATGGTGTGACCCAGACTTGTCAAGGTTCTGTAATAAATCCTCCAACTGAGGTGGGATAGATTTACATTAGTCGGTATGCGGGAAGACAAAACTACTATAAAATGTGGTAAAGGAGTAAAAATACTTATAAATTAATCAGTGATGGATGTTCAATATTTTAAAGTGATAAAAATGATAAAAATACTTATAATATTACATGAGCAAGTACAAAAGTGATCAGACCATTAATTTTGATCGTTAAATACTAAATGTGCATGCCATGTGTCAGCTTTTATTGATGTAAACTAATAAAGAGATAAAAATGCCTACAAAGTCATCAACCAGGATAAAAAATACTTATAATGTTATCAGAGTTAGTGTAAAAGTGATTAATCCATCAAATCCTTTAAATGTGGACTGTTTAGTAGATATTTAAACAAAAACTGACTATTTTTTCACTGATATGGACAAAAAATATTTTCAAATAAAATTCTCTAAAGGTTAATCGATCATTATATGAATACCATATAAGAAAATATCATTTTGACTTAATATCGAATTAAATTGATTGTTTTTTTTGCAGTAACAGAGAAAACCATTTGAAAATATTGAACATATCATAAATAAAATTGCTTAAGGTTATGACAATGTTCTTAAGGTAGGGCGACATAGGAGGTGTGTTTAGTCTTGATCTTCGATTGTGTATAACCTATCTTACTATGTTGAATATTAGGTTTTGCAGAGAAGAAAAATGAGTGGAGAAGGAGGAAATAAAGGGGTGAGATACGTGGCAATAGAAAAAAACTATGTGGTATGGATTTTGACGAATTGGTCACTAATTATAGGTACTCATATGATAATTGATCAACATCCGTAAAAATTTATTTGAGAATATTTTTTATCTACATCAGCAAAAAAAATAGTCAATTTCTATTTAGATGTCAGCTAAACGATTAATATTTAAGAGATTTAATAGATTGTTTACTTTTATATCAACTCTGGTAACATTATGGGTATATTTGCTCCAGGCCGATAATTTCATGGATATTTTTGCCCCTTTATTAGTCCACATCAGCAAAGGTTGACACATGGCATACACAATTAACATTTAATGGTTAAAGTTAACGACATCAGGTCAAAATTAATAATCTAATCACCTTTATACCTACATATGTAATGTTATAAGTATTTTTATTCTTTTTCTCACTTTAAAATATTGGATATTTTTCACTAACTATCTTGTGGGTATATATAAGGTGGGGGAAAGAATGAAAGTAGATGAGTTTTTGAAGAATTGCTTGGCTTCTTATTTTATATTACTGATTTACAGCGCACTAGGGATAGAGCAGCACGGACGGAGTATTTTTGTGAAGTCAGTTCCAAAATCACATTTTTCACGATGAGTACCTATTTTTAAATAAAACTTGAGTCAACCTATATCATTTTTTATATTAACTAAATAAGGCAGATGTGATCTACAGATTTTGATTTGCAGGTATGTTTTTTGTTTGGAAGCAAGTAGGTATCACAGATTGATAGTTCCCATTCATTGCCAGTCTCTCGGCAGAAATTAAGGAGCGTGGGATGGAAATTAATGGAAAGACCAAAAGTTTTTGCTTTCATGTGAAGCACTAAAAGTAACAAGAATGTATCATCGTGCTTAATACTTGTACGTTAATGTCAACATCTAGAGGGTTTAGGCGAAGGAAAAAAGAGAAGCCTATTGATCAAAAAGCTCAATTTTGAAGTTGGGTGCCTCCATGGATGGCAAGATATTGAATTTAGATCTTCAAGAGCCAGATCTATAATTTCATGGGTTCTCGTTAAAAAAAAAAAATGGAAAAAGGACGAGAAAATATTTACACGTTTTTATTTCTTGACCAGGGTCACATTCCCCCCCCCCCGGCTGCCGGCCTTCTGTGTCAATCCTTTTACTGTAATTTTATACAAACAAGCAAAAAAAATTATTAGCAAAAGGATGGAATACAACATATACTTAATATAACTTATTTTTAATTAATTTATCGAAATAAAAAAAATCGTCATGTCATCAAAACAACTAATGCTTCATGTATAATTTTTTTATAGATGAGTTTAAATTTTTGACTGCAAATATCACGTTATATGCTTACTTTCTTTTTTCAAATGAAATACGAGGCAAAAGCCCGAATTTTATTCAAACGTTAATTCGACAAATTAACATCTAACCAACGCATCTGGGGAATCTGGAAGAAGCCCTCGTTAATATCCTTTAACGTGGAATCGGGTCCGCTGCTGCTGTTATCGGCAACAGACAGATTATTATGATTAAAAAAACCAGCACTACCAACAAAAAATTGAATCCAGTAAAAAAGGTTATTTTTAACAATTTGTCAAACTCAAACTCATGTTCAAATTCTCGTAGAAAGAAATGTTAATATTTAATACTCGCTCTTGCCTCAAACAAAATTATTTTTAATAAAAGAATACTTGTAAACAATATAAAAAAGCAGCACCATCCTCATATTTAAATGATTTAGATTATATATATATATATATATATATTCATATGTTTTTTTATTTTATCAAAAAAAGTAAACATTATTTTTGAAAAATTATTTTTTATATTATATAGTACAAAATATGTTAAAATTATTCAAATCAAATTTAAACAATCTTAAGTCTGCCGTTTGGCAGTAGCACAGCCAGATCCACTTCTATAGTTATATTTTTATGGTTTTCAACGCGTGAACATTTCGTTCCAAAAAATACATAAGAACTAAGATTCACATGAACATTTATTCAATTGAACCAAAAAAAACGCGTGAACGCTTTAAACCATACAGCAGAGGTTTGAACCACCCGTGAAAAAAATGATTAGAAACAAGAGTACAGGACAGGCATGGACGTGACTTTTCATTGCACTTCATCAATTGTTCTGATTTAATGATTTTTTTTTATGGCAAAAGGCCAAGTATTCTGATATTTGGGACCAAATTCTATACTTTTTTTTTTTTCCTTTTTGATAATCATGGTAATGTCGCAGTACCCAAGAAATAAATAATGAGTTTTTTTTCAAGAAAATAAATTGTAAGTAAGGAATTTTTACCGTTAAGCGGCTTAGATTTGTAATGAAGACATAGTAAAAAGAAACCAGGTTGCTGCCATAGCAGGTTCCCAAACAACCAAGTAGCGTTCGGGGTCCGCCATAGGAGGTTTCAAAGGGGCTCTCCTAAGTTTTCTTTTCTCATATAGGATAGAGAAAGCAAGCTCCGAACTTTAACATGAATCTGTAGAAAAGCTCGAGGTTCAGGAAGAGGGCCAATCTAACTAACCGCATATCCAGTTCATTTGTGGAGAAAGGAAAATCAGGTGGACCAGAGTTCAGACAGTACCTCCCCCTAGTTCACAAAGTTGGCTTCCTTAAAATCCAGATCATGGTATTGATTTTCATCAAGCCTTGTCCCCCTTCGGGACTTCTTACTTCAATAGGTAATCAAGTCAATTTACATGCTAGCTCTGAAAACCACCATGCGTGAACCACTCTCATCATCTCAATTTACATGCTTAGAGTTGGATCCCACACTAAGCTAATTGCCATGCACTCTTCTAAGTCACAAACGCCCGGAATTACTCCTAGCTAGTTGAATCAATGCGCCTACTCTGTTAAAAGAGACATATGAGGGGTTTACATTCAGTAGCCACACCTGTAAAGAACGAATGGCACCATTTTTAAGGATATGTTGTGCTCACAAGAACTGAAATACAAACCTGTTCCCACATTTTACCCGAGCAGGCTCTTCTTTCAGCTGCCAAAACTCCCAAATCTCAGTAGACAGAATACCTTGTAAGGTTGAGATCCAAGAGATTACCAATCAAAGAGCGGCTAATGGCAGCACTACTCTGCTCTACTTTCATATCAGGCGCAACATTGGTAAGTGGATGTTTTACTCAGCAACTTAATCAAGAGAAGAATTCAATGTTTTCCAAATATACAAGAATGAAAATTATTTTAATTATTCAACAAGGATAAGGACACGGCTCAAAGCCTCAAACCCTGTAAAAACATAGGTTTGATTGTTCAAATCCCGTTGCCAAATGAGAAAGTTATTTGAATAGTTTTTAAAGTATACGTGTAATTACTGAGTCATGAGGCCTACTTTGACCTTGTTATGGCCCCAAAAGCCAAGCCATCAAAACTTTTCCTTTTTTCCTTTTAACCCACAAGAAAACTTTTAATTTAGTAAACTGAGCCCCCCTACTTTTCCGTTAAGTAATGAATCTATTACGGCACCACTGCTTACACTCAGTTCATTTCAAACTTTTGGAAAATAAACAATCAAACAAAGACATGTTCTCGCATCTTGACTTCACAATTAATTTCCTCAAAACCTGCCCCAACCCCAGAAGGCGCGTGAGAGTTTAGACTAAAAGGAAGAATCAAGGACTAACTTCAAATTTTCCAGAAGGAATCAATACTATAAACTCTTACATCCAGGAGACAAGGAGCAAAACCTTAAAATGATCAAAGATCACAGTTTTTAAAGCTGGCCTAATAAGATAATGAAATCATAATCCTCCAAGCTCTTGCAGAGCTAAGCAGCAAACCCTTTCTATTTTTCTTTACGATATATCACAATGATCTACCCAGGGTGAGAGAACAAATGATTTCTATGGCCATTTCTAAGCTGATGATAGGTTATTTATAGTATAAATTAACATAGTCAAAAAAGCATTTCCATCATAAGACATTGCCCAGCTCCAGTTCACATTTAGTGGCATCATGGAGGTAGATTATACCAAAATCCTCCCTGGAGTCATCTGTTTTTCTTCTCTTTCTATGGAAGTGCGGGCTATAAGAAAGTCAGTGTAATGAACAAAATTGAAAAGTTCAATTATAACAGTTAAATTTAGACATGAATAGAATAAATCAACAGCGCCTTGTAATTGGAAGAAGTTAATGTTTCAAGGAAAACAAAACCCATTGAATATTTATTAGGATAAAAGTCATAAGATCTTGTTGCATATAGGACAAAACCAAGACTAGACGCTCATTATAAGGAACTGAACAATCAGCCAGAGCAGACTTTCTGCAATTCTAAGTCGAATTGGCCACAAGGTCCCTAAATTTTGAGTAAGGTAGTAAAGGACCAACACAAAGTACAAAGTAAACTACAACAATATATATCTCTAGAAAAGAAATAAGTATGCTTCAAACAAGAAGATGGAATGAAAATGAAAATTACACCATAAAACTGCACATCATTCAAGCATCCGCATAACCACGCTCAGAGTAAGAAAAAGAAAATTGTCAGCATGATTTATCTCACTATTCTGGATGAATAAAGCATACACTGCAACTATAAGAAGGCAAGTGACAAAATATTCTCCTCCGTGCGTGTTTATGATTTTGATACAATTCTAATGTCTAAGTAAAGGGAGAAGCTAAAAATTACCAATCAAAAACTGATGCCACTCCAGTTCCAAAGATACACAGCAATCTACTTCTGAATGTTAAGCATGGACTTCACCTCATTCTGCTCCTCCAAGAGTCCTTCACTGACATACTTATTCAAGAGCTCCATCTTTTTCTTCTCCAGTACCATTTTCTCAATCTCCTTATCATCGGGCAAAGGCACGTGCACCACAAACTGCCTCTCGTTTTCCTCTAATTTCTCCCTCATCTCCCTTTCCCTCTTCCTCTCTTCCTCCACAACATCTTCCTCCTCTTCATGCAAGAGCTCCCTTGCCGCTGCAGTAACACTCAAAGTTACCACTTCCCCACTCTTCACACTCTTCCTCGCCTCCCTTCTAATTTCTTCCAATCTATTCCATTCCTCCACCGCTTCCCTCCTCATCTTCTCCTCTGCTGGGCCCTCAAGCCTCTCCAAAATTCCATCTTCATCGTCCCTATACCCATAATAGCTCGCATCAATCCTCTTATAAATATCATACCGAGTTCGCCTCTTCCTGAGCTCAGGCGGCTTCTCGAACAACTCTCTGACCCCAGGTAATTTCTTTGCAGCACCAAAATACCTGTATCCAGGGCCACGCCCCCCTGGATTTGGAACATCTACGATATTGCCCTCCAAATCCGTCATCTTCGCAGAGTGTTTGGTATAATTAGGGCCACCAAGCTCAACGATTCGCCGTTCCCAGTGACCCTTTTCTCGTATGAGCTTGTTGATCTCATCGTTGAGGTCGCGGAGGCGGTGCTCGCCGAGACCTTCGTTCTGAATCTCGGCGACCTTGCGTCCAATCTCTCGCATGATCTGCTGGCGCCATTTGTCAGCCTCGGCGAGGTCGCGGCACTCGGAGGCGAGGTATGGGCGGCGCTCCTTAGGCTTCTTCTTCTCCTCAGCTTTGAGGGCAATGTAGCGATTGAGCATCGATTGAGCCTTCTCCTCATTACGAGCCATCTTCCGAAACCAACAGTCTGATTCAGACTTCTACTTCCTTCTTCTGTCTATCAGTTCGAAATTTTCCAAAGCTCGCCTCTCCTACCGTACCTTCTTCGATTATCTCAATTCCCAAATCAATCTTCAAAACCCCAACCCTCTGCCGTCACTCGAACCTCCGTGTGTTTCCGTAAACAAAATAAGGAAAATAAAACTTTACTGGTATTACTTTACTAATATTTACTTTACTATCCTCACTCCTCCGTATAACGCCGGAGAAGAAGGATTTTAATATTAAAAAAATTGAGGATGGATATTTATAAAAGGAAGAGAGGGGAGGGGAAGGAAGGAATTTATATCCTTTTTATTTTGTTTTAACTAAATATCTCTCCTCTATTTTTTCAATCAAACAAGCAGAGGGAAAATTCCTCTTCTTTTTGTTATATTAATATATCATTCACATGAAAGTTCATGAGCTTTTGTCCTAAAAGAGTTTTGAATTGGATAGATAAGCGAAAACAAATTATTCATATACCAACAAAAAACCAAAGCCACTTGAACCACATTGTCTTGATGGCTCATCATAACTTCTCTATACTCTTATCGTTCACCTGAACAATGTTGACTTATGCTATAGCACTGGCGTATCCATTGAGCTTGTTATTTTCAATTTAGTTGTCATTTTAGTGTGTGTGTGTGTGTGACTTTTTATTTACATTTAACAACAATTTATTTAAAGGATTCAACTATTTATTAAATTTGACAAAAATATATCTTAAATGTGATTTGAATATATTTTTTATTTTTAGGGTTACCCAAATAGTCTTTTAGTTTTTACTATGTCCTACTATATATGTTGAGAATACTACGTGATCAACTTTTTCAATTTGGATCCCTCCTCTTCCTCATGAAATAGTTTCCGTATGGCTTTGATCCTTCTACACAACTGGACTGTTTATACTTAAAAGGCATTAGACAGGAAGCCGTAATATGGTTTTTTTTTTTTTTTTAAGGGTGTTGATGCAGTGTAACCGCTGGGGCACAAGTGCAACATTCAAGTTCAGGAAATTGTTGGAATTTATCAACAGTTTTGCCCTTGACTGTCTAAATGTGTAGTAGTGGTTTTTTTGTTGTTGTAACTGGATATAATGTTTGATGCCTAATCAAAATCAGCTAGTTCATGGCCTGTCCATGTTACTGGATACGAATGGATGTGTGTACTTAATGTGGTACTGATACGCGAATGTTGCTCACCATTATTTATATTCCACATAAACAAAGCCAAACATTTTCTTTATGTCCATGATGACAATTAAAACTTTCTTTATTGACATACATCTGGCATCCTGTGCATATTTTATGTACACAACGAAAGCAAATACTTATTCTGCATCCTTTTTATTCTCCGTTTCGTATACAATCGCCTGCAAGCAGTTCTCACTTCTCGTCTTGTCCATTCTGCAAGAAGGTTGCTTTAGGATTTGAGGTGCGAGCAGGTGTAAAATGAGATTTCAGACCAATCCAACATTGGTAGTAATCATGATCTATGAATGGAGATTCTAGAGCCCATCTACATATACGAGGTATTAAACTCGATTCGAACATAAATGCCATCGTGTTCATGATTTTCTGAGGTCCTACATCATTCCCGCGATCAATGGTAGCCTGTGAACCAATTCAGTTTTGTCATTACAAGTTAGAATCCTAGATAGCAAGAAACTTAAAGTGAATTTTCTTTACTATTTGGTAGCCGGTTCTTCAATAACCACGCTTTTTCAATTCAATAGCATAATGCTGAGTTAGAAAACATGTTCACACATTATGTTTCATTAAAGAACTTGATAACAAAAGCTTCAGAAAAAATGTCAGTTTTTTCCCCTTTCTCGAGAATAGCGAGATGGAGCAAGAATGACTTGCACGAGACATACCTCATATGACTTGGTATCAGGACCATGAGGGGTCATGCAGCTGTGAAGACTTGCACCGCCAGGGAGAAAGCCATCAACCTTTGCCTGAAAGGACATGTGATGTTTTAGGCACAGACATTAAAAGACAAGATTTGCCTCCAATGACCAGGAACTCCCACCCAAACTATACTACAATTGACTCGTTGAGATATGTAATCTATGAAGAGGAACACTACAAAGTCAAATCCATGTCCAAAGTTAGAGACTATAACTATTCATGATCCTTCACTTAAAAAATTTAGAATAGCACAGGCAAACACTTGCATAAGACACAACTAATTATTTATACTAACATAGGTACTTTATATTTTGCGTCGCAGTGTTTGTTTCCACTTTCCAGTGCATGTGTCAATGCCTGTGTTTCTCGACTAACAAGGCAAACAGTATGTTAAAACATCAATCCAGCATCAAAAATTTTAAATTTTGCACCTCATAACCACCATAAAGAAGGCCCATAAATTCACTCATGCAGTTGCGATGATAATATGGAGGCCGGAACGTGTGCTCAGCAACCAGCCATCTGGGTGGGAAGATGACAAAATCAAGCAATGCCACTCCAGGTTTATCAGTTGGTGCTGTCAAAACTGTGCATATAAGATCAAGAGATGTTAGAAATAGGTGGTTCCCCTGCATTAAGGAACTAGGGAAGAAGGCAGAGAAAAAAGAAAAAGCGAGCAAGATGCCGAAAAGTGCACACCAGTATTTATTGAAGGGTCACCATGATCAAACAGAACGGTGTTGTAAGGGCAAAATTTGTTTAGATCATACTGCAAGTGATGTGCAACCAAAGCAGAATACACCCAACAAATCAGCAAGAAAATGATGGCTCTAATATAAAGACAATTGATATGAAACACACTGCCTGAATAACACGAGAGAAGAGCACACCTTATATGGAACATAGTTACCATGCCAAGCAACGACATTGAATGGAGAGAAATCTTGTACTGCAGCAAATAGTTCACCACCAAACTTTTGTATGATAGTGTAGCCAGGATAGGAATTGTCTTCAAACCATGCTGTCGGGACAAGGAAATCCCTTGGAGCAGCGAGGCCATTAGCACCTAAAATGGTTTTAAAAAAAAGACTCAATTCTTTACTCAGAGTTGCAATAGAAAATGCTCAATGAGCTATAAATTATCATGTGTATTGTGTATTACGAATTTTAAAGCAAATGCTACAGTGAATTTTATTAGCTCAAAGTCCATAACTTCAAAAGAGATAAGATACCTATGGGTCCAAGGTCTGGAAGTTGAAAATGAGTACCAAAAATCTCAGCAACATATCCACGGGATGGACCATCAGGCAGATTAAGAGCAAAACGAAACCCTTGAGGTAATACAGCTATTTCACCCGGGGAAACTTCTAATCTTCCACATTCAGTAAGGATTAAAAGCCCTAAAGAAACATTAGAACGTGCTGAGAAGGGAAAAAGAGAAAACAAATACTTTACTGCAGCGATGACCCGGGAAGGGTTAGGGTCAGCGCAAACAACCATGTTCAGAGTCCCTGACTCCATGCTAGTGTCTATACTATTTCATGCCACAACAATCATGTCATGTCAGATAGACTACCTTTTGTCAATCATATGATAAGACTTCATCTATAAAAGAACAAAGGAAAATCCATTAGGCAGAAAGAATAACAAATATGAACTTCCAATTGAAAAACATTCACATCAAGTCTCAAAGGAGTCGCTAAAATTTGTCGTTTAATTTGATGTTCTCTGTTTCATAACTTCATTCAGGGAAAAAGTCAATAGGTGTTTTCTTTTTTGGCTGCTAGAAGATAGGATCTTGAGATCATTAGGCACGGATCAGCAGCGAAATCACAAAATATCAGTTTAGAACATATTATAACTTCTGTGAGAGAACACAATTCAATTTGCAGCCATAGTGAACAATTAAGAAGCTAATAGTGATCACTTACTTCCTCTCTGAGGGACAACAAGGAAGTCACCATCAGCGTTGCAAAAAGCACAGTCATCCATTGACTTGTTGGCAGCGTACCTATGAGCAATACAACATTTCCCCAATAATCAAAGGACAAGTTTTACCAACAGAACATTAACAAGCAGAAAAAAGTTTCTATCTAAGAAGAAGAAGAAGAATTGGCCCCTAAAGATGTTTTGTCAAATAGAGCAGAAAATCAGAGTAAACCAGAAACAAAATTAGTCATCATATAAATATAAGATGAGAATAAATTACATGTGAATAGCATATCCATGGCGTAGGAATGAGCTGCCAGCACCACAAATCGTGAACAACCCATCGACAAAATCCGTGGGTGAATCGGGTATATCCACGGGTTTCCATCGGAGCTGAGTCGGGTTTGCGGAACTATTAGACTGATTGAACTCACTCAAGAGTCTCCCATTCGATGGGACCCGGGGCTTAAACGGTTCGTGGGTCACCGAAGGCTTGACCCGATAAAGCCAACTACCCCAACCAGAAAAGAAGAAAATATCAAGAAGTCATGCCGAAGCAGAACATGAACAAAGTTCATAAATTTTTGAAAGTAAAACTGACCTGCGAAGATTGAGGTTGCGAGGGGTGGTGAAGGAAGTGCCGGAGATTTGCTCGGCATAAAGGCCATAGGGGCAAATGAGAGGGCTGTTCTGGTCGGGAGGAAGAGCTCCGGCGAGTGCCTCGGAGGAGAAGTGATTGGCGAAGCCGGAGAGGTAGTCGAAGCGGAGGTCATCGGCAGCGACAGAGGAATCAGTTGCACAACTCCGGTGTCCCATGTGCTACCAATACGACCCAATCTTATGTGTTTTGGAATTGGATTAGCAGGAAAATGCCATTTGCAGAGCTGGAAGAAGGGAAGTGACGACGAGGAAGTTGATGCAAGTGTGTTCCCCCCCCCCCCCCCCCCCTTTTAATATAAGGTCATGGATAACCTTGCAACAAGAAAATATTGAGTCAAACCAAAACTCACAAGAAAGATCGTCTAAAATCAAAATATTGATATTATTGTTTGAAACTTAATAAACAAGCCAATCAATATACTTATTAAATTTTTTAAATACATTATCAAAAGTGATAATTTAATCCTTTGGTATCTAATTTTTTTAAATAGCGAAGGGGATGCAACTAAATGTTAGAAACGTGTGGATTTTTGGATATTGATGCATTCTTCCCAATGGGTGATTGCTTGCATTTCATATAGTATATATTGCCTTGGTCGGTATCAATATATAAGTCATTTTTAATTGTTAATATTAAAAAAAACATACTCTCTCTATTTAAAAATGTAAGACATTTTTAATTTTTTGAAGTATAATCATTATTTTTTTAAAATACCCCTATTAATAATGACTTTATATTTATTATAGGTGTTTAATAGGAATAAATATGAAAAAATATAACTAGTTTAAAAGTAAGTAACTATTTTATTGAAAGTGAAATTCGGTTGCATTTTTAACCAGAGGGAGTAATTATTAGTGCTTATAGTTTTATAAAGTTTTATTTTTAGTTTTTGTAGTTTTAGTGTTTTCAATTATGACACTTGAGTAACAAATATTATGTAATCTCACTAAAATTATAAAGATTGAAAATATTAAAATCCCTACAACTGCTAAAAAAAAATTTCAATGAAACTATGAGAATCAATATAAATGTTTTTCCTTTAATCTAGCAATATCTTTAATAGATTAGTCATTTGTTTATAAATTAACATTATCTTTTTTATGCTTGTTCTTGATTAATAAGATATATCTTATAAAGGTGTGGAGAGGTTTAATTATTTTTTAATAGGAGCGAGTTACTTTTAATTATTTTATTAAATTTAATGAAAGGTTTATTGATGTTATTTGAGAATGAAATGTTTTTTTTTATTTCATTAAATATGTTTATATTTTTTAACTAAGAGAGTAAGTTATTTTTAATTATTTTACTAACATTTTGGTTCTATCAACTCACAATGACATTTTATCATTTAAAAAATAGTGGGGGAGTATTGCTCCTGATAACATTTAAGAATAACAATTGTATCTCTAGAAATATTTTGAAAGCAGGTTTGCACATTAACTCCAGAAGTTATCATGTTTTATAATAGTTTAATCGTTTTACCCTTTAACTCTTTCTAAAAACGTGTGAAAAGAATAACTATGATGTGAAAAGGAGTATTTAATTATAATTGTTTATGAATTGGGGAAATTTCGAATGTTAACATACTTTTATACCAATAATTATTTTTTTATGTATAAAATTGAAAATGTGTTGGTCAAAAAAAAAATTGAAAACGTCTTATACATAAGTGTTAGGGGAGAATCTCTCTGGCCTCATGAAAAAAAAAAAAGCAAAACATTGCGTCTTGATAAGAATAAGTGAATAGCAAGCCCATCGGTGCATGACGTGTATTTGAAGGAACCAAGGTGGAACTGGAAAGGGGGCCAGATCAAGACCAATTGTAGAAGATCCTCCTACTTCACAAATATTATTGTCACATCAACCCTATATCATTTTCAAAAGTATAGTTTTTAGGGTGAAGGATTTTCTCTCCGTCAATTATATCTGAAAAGTTAGTGAACAGCTCACTTTGTTGAGTGATCTCTCTTAATACTCCCAACAATAATTTATTGTGAATAATAAGTCTTATATTACATTTTTTTAATATAAAATATTAATTAATGATTGTTTTTGTTCATCAATTTTATCTCAAATGATTCAATGGGCATCCTAAATAAAAATATTTTATAATAAAAATATTTAAATAATGTAATATGAGGTTCACTAGTTGTGGAGAGGTGGTGAAAAAAACACAATATGACAGGGAGAGAATCTTTAATGTTTAAAAATATACTATTATGTTTCTATTTGTAAGATAAATTATTATTTTTTACTTATTTTTTATATAAGTAAAATCATATATTTAATAAGTATTTATTATATATTTTTTAAATTATCCCTCATAAATTACGTTAATGAAAAAAAATTTATACATACTTATGTTGATTAACATAGGGCATTTTAATTCAATTTCTTTATTTATAGACATAATTATTATTATTAACTACCTTTTTTAAATTATGTGATACAGTTTTTTTCTTTATATATGAAAATGAAAGGAGTAATTAACTTTTATTTAAGTTGAGAATGCCTACTGATTTTTTGAATAAAATTTGAGTGATAAAAATGACTTTTAATTCTAGTTTTTACTCTCTTTTTTTAAATCTCCTAATTAACTACGTCCACTTTTTACTACTATAAGGACACAAATGGCGCTACTAATTCAAAGGGTCATTAGCCGGAATTTTAAGAATGAATTTTTTTTAAATTAAATAAAAATGGCAAGAATTTTGATTAAAGATTTGTTCGTGATTGAATAATAAATAACAAACGTGTCAAAGACGCTGAATCTCAATAGATAATAAAAAAAGTCTCGAGTTTCCTTACTACAACTCGCTCAGATGTAAAAAGATACAAGGCTTTAATAAAATAAATATATGATTTTATTAAAGAGTTAAAGATTACAGACTAAAAGCTAAAAAGTAAAAAGGGCTAACAAATGTAAAAATGTGTAAGTCTTGATAGAGTGTTGATTAGCCTTCTCTGTTTTTTTTTTATTTCTATTTATAGTGTCGAATAGCAGAAACTTTTTTTTTTTTTGGACTTAGCACGTTCTGCCAAAGAATCAGAAATCTCGCGAAACTTATGGCATGATCTCTCCATTTCAATACTCAGCCCGTTTCTCCAAACTATTTGGGCGTAGATTTTAGTATTATTTAGGATCGTGTTTTCGTGCCAACGGTCTAATATTTACAGTTGACGGGATTTTAACATGTTTACTTATTGTGGGCCTTGTTGAGTTTTGGAGCCAGTTCCTTTTGTTTATATTGGGTTTGACGTTTCAATTACATAGCTCAACTAAACTTATAACCTATTTGAGTGATGTTTCATATTTAATCCAAACAAGACTAAAGTTTAATTTAAATAGGGAGAAGAGTATGAAAAAAATAGGGAGGAAAGAAAATTAAGATAAGAAATTTTTAAAAATAATACAATTTTTATTATTTTTTAAGAGTTTTTTTTTAATGTTTCTTTTTTTCCCCCTTAATTCAAATAAAAGGTAAAACTCTAAAATACCAAAAACTAGAAATTCCTAACTTGTAAACAAGAAACGGGGTATGGACGGCAAAATGGGATCGAGTCCGGCAAAACGGGACCAATGAAGCAGGTCAGCAAGATAGGGATGCCACGTATGGAGGTCGTTGTCATTGGCCTTCTCATACCCTTCTTTCTAGGCTCGCCATGCCCAACAAAATTGGCTGATCCTTTTAAGGACATAGTTGAGGGGCAGAACTTTTCTGCTTAGATACACCCGCTCTATTAGGACTGTATAAAAGATAAGATGACGCTGAACTTTATCCTAATTCAAAGCTCGATTTCTTTTGTAAAAAAAATTGAATTAGATAACCTGTAATTCAGTCTTATTTAATAATAATTTAAAAATTAATAGGACTGGACTTGATTTATAGTATTGGGAGACTAGTCCTGTCAGTTTAATACTCACTTAGTTTTTTTTCCTAAGAAAGGCAATAATCCATTTCAACATAATAAACTCAATTAAAATAATAAAAACACATATAATAATAATAAATCCATAATAATTTTCAACAATAAGAAAAAAATATTTTTATTATAGTTTAAATAATTTAAATTTATAACTTTAACAAAAACAGCACTCAACAAAATTCAACAATACTGCATTACAACAACAATTTAAAAAGAAACTCAACAAATCTTCATACAATCATTTCCTTAGCATTAATTACAGTTTAAACATTTGTCAAAAATAAATTAATTATAATTATAATAAAAAATTAATAGGACTGGACTGAACTAAGTGATCTGAATGCCTAGCATCTTGTCCAGTCCAACTCGAAGAAATGGTCTGATCTTTTTAATTTTTTTTGATCCTGAAGGACCAGTGTCTATATAAATCAAATAAAATTGAGACCATCTTGGATTGATTAGATCAAATAAGATTGAAAAATTTTTGCACAGCCCTACATTTTATGGAGCCTTATTTTTATCTCTTTGATTATCATTCATTTATAAATTGGTAAGTGCAGGACGGTGAAAGAGGATAGTTTTTGGTTTTGCTATTTTTGCTCTGTTGCTAGTTTTAGGTCTTTTTGTACCTTTTCAGTTTATTTAATGGATTTCCAGTTTTATTCAGAAAGAAAAAGAAATAAAGAAATTAGCCTAACAAGCAAATTTATCCTTTTGAAACTTGATCATCATTATTCTAAAAATAAAAGTCATTTAATATGTATTTATAATGCCAATTTATTATTGTTTACAATTTATTTACTTTAAAATATAAACATTTTATTTTTATTTCAGATTGTATTGTGTACCAGCTAATTTTAAATAATATGATATTATAACAATATAATTTAAAAAATATCTTTCCGGAAGTCAATAGTGATGATAAGCATGTTTCAATTTTTTAAAGCATAGTAAAAATATGATTACAAAAAAATAAAAATAAAAATAAAAGTCATAAAAAGGGGAAAATATTGGATATTAATGAATGATTGTTTATTATAATTTTTATATTTTTTAGCGATATTAAACATACAAAAAAATAACACTTGCTAAGGGTTAAAATAAAGAAAAGTTTTATATAAATATACTAAAGCATAACTTTACATATGAGAAACAATGAGCACTACATACAGAATTCAAAATTTTGCATGAAACAGATTAACGAAAGGGAATGAGTAATAACCGATAGAGTAAAGCTGATGAGACTTGAGAGCATTTTATTTTCTTGATGCCATGAAATAGTCGGAGTCCAACAAATATTGACGGGGCACCTAAAAACGCTTTGCTGGTTCTTCTTGTAATAACTCATCAAGTGGCGCGTGACCTATCGGCCTTGGTGTCCATGAATTTAATGAATCTTTATTGCTTTGAACTCACGTCTATGCAGCCGCGTCAATCTACCTATGCGTTCATTCTTTGCGCCATTGTCGCATGTCTACTTTTCTAATGCAAGATCGATAAAACCAAACCCTCTTTATGATATATCTTCCCCGGTTGTATTTGATTATTTGTTAATCACATTTAAAAAAAAAATAAATTCTCCATATGAGTCACTTTCTCTCTTTTAATATATAATTTTAAAAATATTTTCTGTCAAATTTTAAAAAGAAATGTAATATTTTAATTTTAAAGAAAACTCTCCCTACGTATTAAATCAATCTTTTTGAAGGCAAACTTAACTTTGGTGAATTGTTTTTAAGACAAAAATAATTTAGGGGCAGAATTGAAAAGTAATTTGTTTTTAAGATAATTTTATTATTTTAACTGACTTATTCTAATTTTGATAAATTAGTTAAAAGTGACTTGTAAAAAAAAATCAGAAAGATTATACTTCCTTCGTTTCTATATATAAAATAAAAAAATTGTATCATATAGTTTAAGAAAATTAATTAATCATAATAATTATGTTTGAAAATAAAAAATTAACTAAAATGCCCTGTATTAATCAACATAAGCATGCATTAATTATTTTTTATTAGTGTAAATTATGAGGGGTGATTTAGAAAATATATAATGAATACTCATTAAAATATATAATTTTTCATTAAAAAATAAGTAAATAATAATAATTTATCTTATAAATAGAAACAGAAACGGAGGGAATATCTTACAACCATACTTGCACGCGTCCAATGAGCAATGGCCAAAAACTTAACCTATCGCGGCATAAGGCATTGTTTGTATGCGGTGGCAAGCCATGGTTGCTCGTAAATGACAAATTGTCACCCATGCATGAACGATATTTAAAAACGTGATTCCAAGCACTCAAGTCTTTATAAACCAGCGTTCATAATACATAGAGGAAACAAGCTTGTTTGCTTTTGCCAAGGGAAGACAGGCTAATTAGCCTTACATGATCCTGTACCACCCGCTTCAACCTTAGTAGTGTTTTAACATTGAAGTAGAGGCGCGTGAATAAAAGCCGGCTTGATTTTTGTAATCCTAGCTCTTAAAAAGTTCATTCTTTAAATATTCAAGTCAACAAGCGCTCTTATGCTAAAACATTTTTCTTAAAGCCTGGCTGTTGTCAACAAGGCTTGGGTTTGGCCATGAAAGCCTGTATAATTTTTTGGCCCTTTTAAATTTAAAATTTTAATTATATTAATACATGTATAAACTACAAAATATGTTAATAAAGTATCTAAAAGGCAACAATAACCTCCAAAATATAATTCATAATGTAAATATTCTTTGATAGTTATCATCAATCATCATCCATAAATAAAACATTAGATCTTTTAAAAGGAAGTTTTCTTAAACTTGGAGGACATGATAGCTTTATTTTCCCCACATGTATACTATCATTAAAGGCAAAGATGTTCATTGCAATGTCAAGCACTAAATGTTAACATCTCTTACAATGGATACTCAAATCTTAATTTATTATGTTATAAGAAATTAACCTTTTTCATTAAACCCAACCTTAATTGGTGTGTCATTTTAACATTAGGTCTTCAAAGCTAATTGCATTTTGGTCTCTTCAACAAAAAGAAGTTATACAAGTTTATTGTCATAAGGTTAGTCTTTTAACCTGCGTAGTACTTAGATCTTTTTTGACTGAAAGATGCTAAGCAAGCTTGATTTGTTGAGAAGGGAAATTGTTGGTTAAGTTGAGGAATAAAAATCTTGAGAGCAAAAGGATTGATTGGGAGAGTTGTGAAAATGTGAGACTTGTATCAATTGAGAACTCTACAGTGAAACTCAAAAATGTTTACAAATGAGGAGAAGTGAGGTATTTATAAGCTTCCCCTTAAATTTATAAAATTTTTACATTCTTAATTGACGACGAAGATTAAATTAATCCCACTATCATTATTGATTCTCTAGACTTATCCACTAGATATTTATAATAAATATCTAGATATTTACTTGGAGCTTATAGAATTCATATTAAGATATTCATGTTAGAGTAGTATGTATTTTTTTAAAATGTTCTTGCACACCCTAGGTTTTTTAAGATTATCAAAAGTCTTCAAACGGATTTTAGAACTTTTTAAACCACCTTGATCTCTTGAAAAATTACAGATCATGACATTGCTAGCTTGATTCCAGGCTCGGTATTGATGTTTGCTATATTTACTGCTCTACATTGAAGTAAATTATTATCAGCGTCTCAATCTCAATTCCTAAAATTGTCAGATTTGTTTTTTTTTTTTTTAAAGATTGTTGTTCAGGCCATGCCTTTTTAAGAAAGAAATAGAAGAGTTGGCAAAACGATTTCGCAAGTGGGAAATTGCAATAGCTGCAAATGTATTTATATTTAGTGGACTGTGTACTGCAGTCATGAGGCAACAGACAATAGAAAAGAGCACCAATCGCTTTATAATCTGCTTTAGTGGACTCAAATGCACATCTGATTTTAGCCGTTTTTGGTTTCGAATTTTAAAAAATATTAACAATATAACTGTGATAACAAAGATTATCATACACAGATCCCGACTTGGGTTGACATTTTGGTTGATTTTTTTATATTCATTATAATGTTCAAATCCAAAAGAATTATATTAATATTTTGATTATTTTCAATTAAAAAAAATAGAAGTGTTACTGGAGCATTCCCGGGTGTAGTTCCCCCAACATCAAAGAAAGATTTAGGAATGAATTTAATATTTAACAAGAATCTCAATAGATTGAATACTTAACAAAAATTGAACTTCGCTTATTACTTGTTAATGATTATTTGTTAGAAGCTTTGCCAGATATTAATTTTTTTTAAAGGTCATTCAATGATAATCTGCCAAAAAAGGAAATTAAGAAAATAATATTTAAGTCTCAAAATATTAATAACTATTAGTTATTGACAAAAAATTTAAAAAATAAACTATTTAAGTTTGAAATATAACTCCCAAATTTTAATTTTTTTAATTAATATTTATAATTTATTTTTTAAAAATTTTGAAACCTAGCTACCATTTTTTAAAATATAAGAGGAATAGAGAACCTATTTAGCAACCTGGTTTGAAAACAATTTTTTATTTTTCAAAACAAAAAAATTGTTTGATAATGTGTTTTGAAAAAAAAATATTTTTGAGAATCAAAAAATGAAATATTGTTTTTAAAAACAAAAAAATATTTTTTAATATTATGGGATTGTTGTTTCTAAAAAATAGGGAAAATAAAAAAATATTTATTTTTTTCAAAACATGTTCTACAAAATATATTTTTAAAATAATAAAATAAAAATAGTTTCAAACAAGTACATACTTTTTTTTTAATAACCAAAAGAGAGGGGGGCATTACAAAAAATAGAAAGAAAAGGGGTTAATGAAGTTCTTAGATCTTAAACTATTATTCAAATAGTATCTTAAATTTTAAATTTTTAAAATGAATATCCTAAATTTTAAATTATTACTTGAGTAACAAATTATCTTTCACTGTGTTAATTTACATATAACCATCATTAGTTTTGACTTTGTAAAATCGAGTCAAAAATTGATGTAACATTAATCTCCTTTTAATACATAGCATGTCAGTCGAATTATATAACAATCAATGTTATACAAATAAAAGATAAGGATAGTTTGTTTGAAATTTACAAATTAAAAAGAGTTTATATTCATTTTAAGAGTGTAGAATTTAAAATATTATTTAAGTAATAATTTAGGATTTATGATATCTACTAACAAAAAAATTTAAAAAGAGAATATACATGTGTGTGTATAAACGAAAACAGGGAGAGAATAAAATTTGAAATTTTGAATCGAGGAGACATCTTTTGGAGCAAGTCTAGTCAGAGTCTAAAATTCAAAAACACCCACATCTTGAAAAAGAAGGAACACATCCTCAATCCTCCTCCTCCTTCTTCCCTATTTCCTCCAATTCCACCTCCCTCTTCTTCTCTCTCTTGTCAGCGTCGCTTCTTGTATGTGTTCTTTTCCGACGCATTCGCATCTCGCAATCTTGATCCGACCCGATCCAGCTTCAAATAATGGGCGCTTACAGAACCGAAGATGACTACGACTACCTCTTCAAAGTGGTTCTCATCGGAGACTCCGGTGTTGGCAAATCTAACCTTCTCTCTCGATTCACTCGAAATGAGTTCAGCCTCGAGTCTAAATCCACGATTGGGGTTGAATTCGCCACCCGGAGCATTAGTGTCGACGACAAGATGGTCAAGGCCCAGATTTGGGACACTGCTGGCCAAGAAAGGTTATTGGCTTCTTACTTTCTTCTTTTTTGGCCAAATGTATGAATCTGAAATGAATTTCAGGTCATGGATCTCCTTGCTTTAGTTACGATGATAAGGTAGCCAATTGGATTGCTTTACTGTAAATTATTAGGAAGTTGATTAATGTTCGCTTCTAAAATATTCTCGCCTCGGTTACTGATAATGAATCGAAATTCATTCTTCTTCTTTTTTTTAAATGATTATCTATGGAAGTGAAATGGAAGCTTTAGATTTGCTTCCACGTGCATAGTTTAACCTTAGAACTGGTGATCAGGTAAAAAAAAGAAAAAAGAAAAAAGAAAAAAGAAAAACGTTAGAACTGGTGATAAGATAATTGGTAATAGATCTATTTCAAATTTCTCGTCTAGATTGTGGATTTGTATGCAAAAAGTAAAATAAAAAGCATAAAACAAAAATAAATATAAAAAGAAGCTGGCGGTACTATGTGATTTGCAAGAGAAGATAAAGTAACAGTTCTAGGGATGTCACTTTGGTTTGCCTAGCGATCTATCTTGCGAAATTGATGGGTTAAGATAGATATGGTTGGGCACTAGAAGGTAGGAGAGTTTTGTGTTGAAGATTAATTAACTTAAGACTTTGGAATAGAATAGTTCCTTTTGGGAGGAAAGGTTCTTGATATGATGTAAACGAGAGTGATATGTATGCATAATCTTCCAATCATGATTATCTGGTCGACCATAACTGTTTATGGACATTGTTGATAGTTATTTATTCATCAATCTACATATTATAGTCATTATGAATTTCTGCAATGATTCGTACCCTGCAATCTGAATGGCAAAACTTGTTAGCTTCGTTAAAATTTGAGAAGCCCCCTGCTGAACTTAACCATAATTCTTTTTCTCCCCTTGCAGATATCGTGCAATCACAAGTGCATACTATAGAGGAGCTGTTGGTGCTTTGCTTGTTTACGATATCACTCGACATGTTACCTTCGAAAATGTTGAGAGATGGTTGAAGGAGTTGAGAGATCATACAGATTCTAATGTTGTAGTCATGCTTGTTGGTAACAAAGCAGACCTACGACACTTACGAGCGGTTTCCACTGAAGATGCAAAATCATTTGCCGAAAAGGAAAATACTTTCTTCATGGAGACATCTGCCCTTGAATCTGTGAATGTTGAGAATGCGTTCACTGAAGTGCTAACCCAAATATATGGTGTGGTTAGTCGAAAAGCACTAGAAGCAGCAGGGAATGGTTCTGCAGATTTGCCCAAAGGACAAAGCATAAATGTTGGGGGCAAGGATGATGTTTCAGATGTTAAGAAAGGTGGCTGCTGCTCATCTTAAAATGATCGACAATAATCATAGAAGTCAGATTGGTTGTGTTGCCCTTATTTTCCACCAAAAATATTATAGCTGAATTTGATGCATACTGATCGTGTTTCTTTTTTATTTTTTTTCCACCGGACCTCGCTGCACGTTGGAAGATAATTGGAGGTTTAAGTGGTAGAAATATGACATTTATGTGATTTTGAATGGTCAATCTTTCGGTCTCTTGTTCTATATTTTTCCCCTTTACTTTCTTAGGCTTTATTGTTGTAATTGTTGCCCTAGTGTAGAAAAAATCTATCAAGTATGAGCTATTTTAAATTTCTTGTTGACCATTACACATTTAAGGGCTTGTTTCGTTTGAGGGTTTTCGAGAAAAGGGGATGAAATTTCATAACCTCATTGTTCATATTTGTAAAAATAAATTTATTAAAATAATTGGATTGAGTCTAATGAAATGAATTAGTTATTTATAACATAAGTGTTTAATTGTGTCTCAAATAGAACATGTGCTCAATGAGAAAAAAAAAATCATTAAAAACCCACCTCATCCTTCCTTCAAAACCCTTCTACCAAATAAGAAGTAATTGGTGGTTGACAGATTAATTTGTTTCTTACATTTATGAAAAAAAATGCTTACATTTAATGTTTGATTGTGCTTCAAATAGAATTATATCTGTAATCAATCAAAAATAAATAAATTTATTAAAAACTCACATCCTCCTCCCTTCAAAACCCTTCTTCCACCTGTTAATACGTTAACAAGTCTGGGACAATTATCAAGAGGTTGACACAAATCTATATATAATATGAAAACAAACATTTCACATTACAAATGAGTCATGAATAACTGACTCTTCAGATTTCGTGCATTTAAAAAATGAGAAATAACGGGCTTTCCAGATTCTTGGGTGGATTTTATCGAGGACAGAAAAACAATTAATAGATACCGTGAAAGGTGATTCAAATCAAATGTTAACTAAGCAACCCACATGAGAAAATAGCTAATTATATAATATATCGATAATCAATGTCAAATTGTTAACTCGTCACACAGAACAAAGCCTGTACAACTTGATAGATACAATGTTCTGGTGCCAATAAATAAATGAGTTTGGGAGGTGTGACTGTCTATAGTATATATGTGCATGTAAATATACAAATCTGCATTTTTGTTCAAAAATTATTTATCATCCAAGAGGATTGTACGGACGATGGGGAAAGAAATTTTCGACACTCATTTTATGCGCCCTTCGTTCTAGGGGTGATCAATGCCTCTGACTTGCATATGGGGCAAACGTTCTTCAGCAGCAACCATTTCTTCAAGCAATCAGCATGATACTCATGCCCACACTCGAGAATTCCAACTGTATCTAGCTTCTTATATTCATCCTGAAATTATACGCACATATCCAGGGATTAACTGAGGGCATTGTGAACACAAACTAATTCCATAAAGTTTGGATAATGAAAATTCAGTGCTTAAATGACTTGACTATTGGTTATAAAGTTGCTCAATACCAGGCATATGATGCAAGAGTCATTTTCCTCATCCTCAGAAGCTGCTTCCTTCAGATTAGCCGCGCCGGAGCAATCGAAAGTTTTCGTTTTCAACTGCGTTGTAATAGTTTCCTCTGATAAACCTGTGCTTACATTGCCAATCCGCTCACCCAAAGCAAGAAGCTCCTGTGGTCAAAATTCCATGAGCAATCAGTACAAAAAGAAATTTTCTCGAGTTCAAAATTTAGTATTATGATAAAAAAGCATGATCAGAATTTAGTCCACTTGCCTCATAAGACATATCCTCTATGTCCAAACGCATATCACCATGATGATGATCAATTAAATTTTCCACTTCATCAAGTAAAGCAACATCCTACATGCATTAACATTGATTTATGATGAAACCAACGTCTCAAGTAAGCCTCAGTCTTCATAGATACAACAATGACAGCATATTACAGAGTAAAAATAGTACTGAGAGCTACATAACTCACATCGACATGAAGAAAACTCATTGGACGGGAATTTTGATGTCTAAGAGATGTATCAGGTGTGACTCCTCTATGAGAACGATGTATCCATTGGCTTGCTGATGGCACAAGGTCAACGTGCCTACCACCCAGCCCAAAACCATTCTGCACTGGGATGACAGTACTGTGCGGAGAATTTGATGGAACCCCCCTATAAGTAGTTGCAGTAACTGGAGGGTGAAAGTTGATATTGTGACCTCTCACTCCTTGCATGGGCAGAGTTGGAAGGTGATAATTATGGTGCTGCTGATTGACTGGAGGTTGATGAGCGAACCTGAGGCTGCTTCTGTTGTTAGCTGTATCATGATATCTCTGCATACCTGTATTTGCATTCTCCAATGAACTTCCATTAACAGTTGCTGGATAATAATGGAACGGGGGAAGTGTCAGAAAGTCCGAATTCAGACATGACATCACATTCATTCTTAACACTTCATTTAAAATGATGGAAAATGGAAAAGGAAGGTAACTCCCCCTTTTATCTTCAGCTAATATGTTCTGATGCATACCTATGCCTCAAAATTAAGATTGGACAAAATCTGTCCAGAAAGCTAAAAAGGAAAAAGCTTTGGAAATTTTACTCATATACTTCCTCTGTCCCAAGTTATAAAAACAATTTTGGGGCATTTCATTGTCCCAAAATATCAGTTAATTTGATAAAAAAAATTAAAAATAAGATTTCATTAATGATCATTGTAATATAATGATTAAGCTATAGATTTGAAGTTATGCTAAATGAAGAGCATTTTTGGAAGTTTATATTTTTATTTTGAAAAAATAAATTTGTAAAGTGTCATCATCGAACTTTATAGGTATGCATAATTTTATCTCACATTGTCTTATAATTTGAGATAGAGGGATTAACTTATAACACCATAACTTGATGTTGATAGACTTTTCCTTCTGTTTTTTAAGTTAGGAGAGGGTAACTCATTTGCTCATGGTTTGGCCGCTTTATAACGCTTACAAGGAATTCTCCCCCATTTTGTACTTCAAATTCCAGATATGGGGAACATGTTTTGGCAGTAAAAATAAATCTTAACATTTGTAACGTGGTTGAAAAACAAAATAAAAAAAAACTCTGGTTTCCACTAGGAGAACATCTGAGTAACAAAAGAGAAGGAGGGAAAGGAAAAGTAATATCATCATCACCTTGCAAATAAGGCATTGAATGAGACTGATTCCAGGCCATATTATGTCCTTCACTGTTAGTACCATTCAACTGCTGGTCCAACCAGGGAGGTGGAGCTGGTTGAAAGCGCTGGCCTAAATAGTTTCCTCGAATCAAATGGTTGTGTTCATGCACCAAAACTGAGTCACCAGATCTGCTCCATAAACAACCATGAGGTCCAATTTCTACAAGTGATGGAATGTGATTCCCTCTAAATTGAGGCAAGGAAAATGATGCAGTAACCCCATCAGAGTGCCTTGTGTTTGGAGGAGCTACCGAAGAACTAGCAGCAGCATTAAAATGTTGGTAATTTCCCCTGATGCCCTCCGTAATTTTTTGTTTATATGGACCTCTGGCATCATCCATGAAAATACCAGAGAAAGCATATGTTCCTGGAGCTGGCAATTGATCAGATGCTCGGTAATTAAAGGGCTGGGGTACTACACCAGCACCAGAGGGAGGAGTGGTTGCAGAAAAATACAAGCCAGATGATGCTGCAGCACGCGCATCAAAATTGGGTTGATGATGAATCCCATTAAACTGTGTCATCCCATACATCAAACCATTCTCATGAGCATCTAGCGAATAGTGGGAATCAATATTACTTGTGTTTCCTGAAGCCGCCACCACCGTGTGGATATTTGGCTGTGAGATGTTGGGGCCCCTTAGAATGAGACAGGGTTCAGAATGATAATAATCTTGCCTTTGTCGATCCATTTCCAAATCAGTCATCTGACACTGAATTTTCATATAAGGTGAATCAATCAAAACTGAACCATCCGGACAACTAATAAAGAAACTATCAGCAGTTTTTCATTTTCACTTGTTTCAAAGCTGCAACAATATGTTCATCTTTCGTTAAATATATTGATAAAAGAATGAGGTTATATCTTAAATTAAATGTAATTTTAAAAATCAATAATAATTGCATTCCTATTTCCTCCAACCACTTTTGAAAATGGAAGCTGAGAACACTAAAACATAAGGTAATGACATTTTGTTGCAGGTCAGGTACTTCTCGACCTACACAAGGATACTCTCATGAAAATAAATGACAGGATCACAATTAATCACAATTCGAAAAAGAATCCTAAATCCCACTATATTAGAAACTATTCACCCTAAACTGACAAAGGAACATTATATTATAATATCTAATGAACATCACAATGGATTTCTTCAAGATCAAATTGAAGGGCGATAACCAGATAATTCATCTTACAATGCCCCAAAAAATTCTATATTCCGAGTACATAGAAAAAATATATTTTTTTCTGGAAAGACATGCGGCTCCTTAGAAAAATTAACTCGCATACACCAAGGGGGAAAAGAGGGGAGGGGAATACAGTACCCAACAAGAAATGCCCAAACCTTAAAAGTAAAGTATTCAACTAGATCATCCCCAATTGAACCTCCGCCCCTCCCCAGCCCAATACATGCTAAAACAAAGTTAAATAACCACACCTTCTAAACATGCAAAGCTTGAAACTTCCGATTTTCAAAGATCAGTATAATTTACAGCGTCCGGGAAATCGATTCTGGCGAAAAGAAAACAAAAAATATGATCACCGGGTTCGAAGAAAGATATCATCAATTGAAATCGGCTACAGTGAATGCCACCATAAACCAGGAATGCAAGTTCTTTGCTTGCATCCGATGATCAAAACATCAATTTTATAGCCCTAAATAGACCAAAAAAGCACGAAAATTTACAGGGAAAAAAAACTAGGGGAAAAACGAATGGGCATGGACCAAATTACCGTAGAAGGAAACCGAAAGGTAGAGATGATCACAATCCGCGATCGAAGAAGCCAAGGAGACAAATTTCCCAGAAAGGAGAGAAAGAGAGAGAGAGAGAGATGGAGAGCAAGAGAAAGAGCGCGGGGAAGGGAGGAGAGAACGAGAGAGGATCGTGCTTTCGTGAGCAATTCTCGTCTGTCAAATTAGTAAAATATATCTCGTGGTTTCCTATTTCCTTCTCTTTAGGATTAGGATTTTCCTTTTAAATCTCAGGATCAGGATTTTCTTTTTACCCCTTTTTAAATCTTAAGAAAAAAATGCATCTTTGTTAGTTTTATGTAATTATGATAATGGCTTCTGATCAATTGAAGATTGTATATTCTTTTTATTTAAAAATATAAAATATTTTTTAAAAAATTAAATGTTAAAAAAATATTTTTAATCTTTCAAGATACAATCATTATTTTTTTTAAAGTGTTTTTATTAATAATAACTTTATATTTATTGTAGGTTGTTTAATAAGAATAAATATTAAAAACATAATTATTTTAAAAATAGGTAATTACTTTATTAAAATGAAGTTTGATTAAAAATATATTATATTTTTAAACGGAAAGAGAAATATTTTATCAATTATTTATATTATAATAAAATTTTTATTAATATTTTAAAATATACATAAAATTATGCTAAATATGTAAAACTAACTACATAACTATTTTGTGCATTTTCTGGCAAAAAAAAATCCAGAATTAGGAAAAAAGAAGATTCCCTTCAAAGAAAAATTACTTGACATACAAGGTAAGTGATGGCCATTCTGTCAATAATTAGGAATCTGAGCTTTTCAAGGAGATTAATTTTTTCTTATTCTTTTAATTTTACTTGCATTTTTTAATCATATCAATTAGTTAATCCAGCCAACGAATAAGGAAGAAGTAAAATTAAAAAATTCATCTTATATAAGAAACTTGAATAAGACGTGAATTAAAAAAAAAAACACGTACACACACAAATAAATTTCAGGAGGTTAGCCTTACAAACTTCCTAATTTAAGTTTTAATTTATATTAGAATGGAATTGGGTAGGTGTTTTGTATAGTTTTTGAATAATAATACAATATAATATCATTGATATGAATTTTATATTATATATTTATTTAAGTAAAGGTTTATCATAGTTAAACCCATATTAAAGTCAATGGCTATCATCGGAAATATGTGTTTGGTTTCAGCAATTTTCAGTTTAAAATCAAACAAACACTAACTATAAAAAAGGGAAAAAGCCAAATTCAGCTCAATATACCATGAACGTGTTTTTTAATAGAAAAGATAGACATAAGTGAGAATACTATTTATTTATTTATTTTAATATCAAGAGATAGAATATATTATATAGGAATTGTTTCCTCATCCTCTTTGAAGATAATTTAATAAAAGAAAAGGTTGAGATTAGGTATTTTAGGTTGACAATCCAATCATGCATCTAGTGCCCTGGCCGTGATTAATATACACCGACTTTCAAGTTTCAACTTATTTAATAACTTTAATTTAATCTCTTTCTCCACAATACTTCGTCATCCCTTCATTTTAAAAATAAAAAAGTAATTTACTCATTTTTTTCTCAATTTAGTTTTATCACTTTTAATTTATTTACAATGTCAATCATCTCAGCCAGCTATTTAGTATGGAATTTTTTTTTTTGTTGGGAACAAAGAGTTTTCATTTTTGTCCTGCATTTGATATTTTTTAAATGATAGCTTTTCTTGAGGAAGGGGAAATAAATAGTGGTTAAAATACTTAATTAAAAACAACAGAGGGTTTTTTTTTTTGGTAGTATAAACAGCAACAAAGGTTTTATCGAGTAATGATGAACTCAATATCTTTTGAATTTAAGCATTAGAAATAAAAATAAAACGTATGTTTAGAGAACTTCTTTTCTTATTAGAACTTAATGTTTAAATTTATCAAAAAAAGGTGGGGAAAAAAAAAAGGTAAGGCACAAGTGCAAAAGTATATTCCCTTTTTTTTTCCCGTAAAAATACAAAGTTGATATGACATTTTCAAATGGGCCCCCCTCTCATAGCAACGAAAAAGTGAGGAGTGACGGATGAAGCATGGGAGAAACGTATTTTATTTTTCGTTTTTTAATAAAAATGTTCTTTTCACCTCTCAATCACCACCGGCCCGCACCCACTCGTACTTTATTTTATCTTTATTGCTTGAGTTGATTTTAAAAAAATTAGTCTTATTTTGTTTTAAACACGGTTGCTATGTCTTTTAAAAAACTGTTTCATGATTAATAAGAAAAATGAGAAGTTGTTTTCAGATAACCAAATTGTGTCTGGAATTTCGTATAAAATTTAATATGAATCTTAGCGGTATTAAATAGCACAACTTTTCCTGTAATTTTTACGGAGAACTGTATATAAAATATATATACGACAATATTATTAAATTACTGAATTATATTTTTTTTGTTTTTATTTGTTTAAATAAAAAAATCAATCCATATCCCTATCCTCTTTTCCATCCCAGAGCACACCACGTGCTTTCTCTCTCTTTTGCCTGAACACATGGCTATTGTGATGATCTAAGCTGCGTGCTCAACGATGCTACAAAATGGATAAATAAATGGAATATTGTAATATTGTCCCCTGGAAAAATAGAATACCATATTCGGCGATTTCGAATTTATATTAAATTAAAAAAGTAGTAATGACATAATGGGATGAATCCAGCGTATCTGTATTTGGATGATTCCCACACTCAATTAAAAAATTATACTATGGATTTTAGCATTTTTTATATCATATGTAGAATATATTCCAAAATTTTTTCCCAAATTATGATTTGATTATTTTATTTCTTATAAGAATAATTATCCCCAAGCAGCCCTGGCACCATGAAATTTTGTATCTTTCTGTTCTTATGTTTTTATAGGTTATATCTTGGTTTTATTACTTTCTTTTTTTCCTTCTTCTCGTTGATTAGGGGGTGTAACATTTTTTTTTTGTTACCAATGAAATTGACCTTTTACCCCAAAAAAAAAAATCTCCACCCAAATCGTCAAATTGACAACTTTATTGTAGAACTCTAGCAAAAAAACTAAAGCCTGAATTACTTCCCCATCTTTATATATAAAATATTTTTAATCAAATTATATAAATTTATAAAATTTAGTTATCTAATTAAAAGTACATTAATGTTTTAATTTTATCCTTAATTATTTTACATAAAAAATGAACATCTTCTTTTAAAATAAATTAATAAGAGTATTTATCATTTTGTTTTTTTAATTTAATAAAGCTATAATGATTCATTGACTAAAAAATATATTAACAATATTTTGTATTTAAAAATAAAAAAATTTAAAATACCTTTTATATATAAAAGTGGACGGAGTATATGATTATAGTAGTCTTGATGACATTCTTGTTCTTAGCTTGACAATTAAACCAACACAAACTCTCGATCAAACTTTTTCCACAAGTTTTAAAACACCTTATCTTGTTAACATTTTACATGTCGTATGATTTACCATCATTCGCGGGTTAGAGCGTAATCCAAACGTGCGTCGTAAACAATGACTACTTGCATCAAGGCTCCATCACCAATTTTCCTTTGAAGCAATCAATTTCCGTAGTGAGCTGCCCAGACGAAGTTGTCTGCTTTGTTTAAACTAATAATTTGCTTCCCCAGAACAGAAGGTTCGGACAAGATTCTCACTGTTAAACTACAAACCCATCAAGTTATGCGCTGCCTTTGAGAAAATTATAAGGCTACCCGTTCCATAATCCGAAACTTGACTCATAAACTACGCCACATAACAGTGATTTGACACGGTCAATGAATCTAACCGTAGGTCTCACTCTCACATTCACATTCTATTGCACATTTGTTTACTCATGGCTGCTGAAAGGTACTGATAAAAATTCACAGCCAAAAGAAAACACGTGAATGATGCAAAAGTTAAGATGATCGAGGGACGTAGAACTTCAATAAGCATATTCCTTGCATAAACTCATCAATTCGTAAAACCTTGTATCCCATGTGTAATATTTAAATACTGGTTTCCATACACGCACGACATCTCCAGATCAGCTTTCCCCCTTTCTTACAGAAACATTTTAATACTTAGAATTCTTGGTTCCCAGGACGTAATATCTTTTACATGATATACCTGTGAAATCCTCATTAGAGCACAAAAGCAATATCAACTCGCAATGGGAACTTTGTTTTAACTAATTAGTGAGAGTATGTTGTTAGAATTCTCCCTCAGATCTCCTCATTTGCGTGCCTCTGCCTTCTTCTGTCCTCGGGCTGTAAAAAATTAACGGTTACTTTGTTGGATTCTGTATTTTTTATCTGGTTGAGAAAAAAGCAGATTAGGGGAAAGGAATTTTACCAGCCTTCTCCTCTTCACGCTTTTTTGCTGCCTGCGCCCTCTGTTGTCGTATAATTGCTAGTCGTTCTGCAAAAAGGAAATGGTGAGACAATGGAGAGCTGCAAGTTAATCTGCTTTACAAAGGTAAGACAAAAAGATGATTGATGATGGTAAGCTTAACAATGAAAGATGAATGTGAATAGAGGTTGAAGACCATACTCCATAGCCCCACCAAACTGCGCTAGAAAGAAGGCCGCTCAACCAATTTGCAAAATCAAAAGAGGACTAGGATTTGCCAGAATTTTGACGCGCATGGTCAATAATTCATGAAAGAGGAACATAATATTTACAGAGGGTAAGTTTTGCAAACAACCAAAGAATTACCTAAATCCTTTCTTGCTTGGTCTGTTTTCCCTTGCTCCTGGAGTCTCATATATCGCTCATGAGCCTTTTGCTTCTCTATTTCCTCCCTGTAAACAACTGTGTGAGAACAAGTCCAAATGCAAAGGTCAATGCGAAAAAATTAAGAACCATATTTTTCATGAAAATATATCATCTTAATTGATTTGATAATTTGTAGATGACTAACTCATATGATCTAATCATTACAAATGGAAAAAATTATCAATTTTGGGGAAAGTATAAGAAGAATTTATTTTACAAGTAAAGTGAAAGCCAAAAAAAAAAAAAATTCATTACCCAATAAAAAGGTTATGAATTATGCTTGGCAGTTAACGATGTATATTTTACTGGTTGTCCAATTGTTTCTGTAAAATATATGGCTAAAGTATGCTTCTAATTCATTAATTTTATATAAGATTTTATTTCAATCCCTTGATTTTATAAAGTACATTTTTAGTCTTTTAACTCTTAATACTTTTAGTCTCATCACACAAATTTACTATATTAAACTTTTAAATATTGAAAGATATTCTTAAATGTTGACTTATTAAATTTATTTTTTTAAATGATAATAATTGATATAAAAAATAATTATTTAAAACTAGCAATGTTAGGAGCAAGGGACTAAAAATATATTTTATAAAATTAAGGGACTAAATTAAAATTTTATATAAAATTAAAAGATTAAAAGTATACCTTAGTGTGAAACATCTTAAGCAAAACATATCTCATAGAGAAAATTCTCTAGGGTTCTTTTGGAAAGCAACTATGGCTTCGAAAAATAAAAAAAATAAAAAAAGCTACTGCTGACTGACAAGAATGTGCCAAATTAATTCATAACTCAGTCATTAAAAAGTAAGCATTTTTAAGACAGAATAGAAATTTAATTTTAACTCATTCAGTAGCCATACAGAAGCATGGTCAACAAAAAGTAAGTGACTAGGCAGTTATGTTGTATGAACCGAAGAATTTTTTTTTTTTAAGCTTACCTTTCTCGCCTTGAGAGTTCAGTTTTCCTCTCCGCCTGCAACAAATGTGGAATCAAAACAAATTTTAGTCACCAAAAGATACCATCAAGAAGAAGCCTGAAATTGAGACTCACATCAACATCTTTGGCCTTCACGTTCTTCACTTTTGCTAAATTAGGATTTTCAATCTCAATAAGTCCCTCAGTGCCTTTGCGCCTCTGCTCATAGATGTAAGACAGCCCAAAGAGAAATGTAAGTGAACCAAAAGTTACTAGAACCAGGAGGAAGAAATAAAGCAATGATGAACACATACCTCAGGTTCTTCCTCCACCTCCTCGCCCTCTGATTCTTCTACTTCTTCTACTGCCTCTGCCTAACATGCACAGGTAATTGTAATTTCATGCTACACGAAGAAAAGACAAACCCATATACACAACGAACAAGCTGAAGGTCCATATATTCCTCTACTTCCACTACTTCCACTAGGCTGCTATTAACAGTATCCATGAATAGACCTTTCAGGGAGGGGGATCACGAAACAAACAAAAAGAAATAGACCAACAGATGTCCATTAACAAAAAGGAGCATAAGAGATTATAGCTACTAAGTGAAGCACTCAACAACTACAACCTCTATGCTGATTATTGAACATGCAGAAGAACAAAACACAAGGGAAATGACTACATAACTGGATTCAATGTCATTGGAGATTGATCAGTATTTGATAATGAAATATTCAAATATTAGTGCAAAAAATGTTCAAATTCCTAAGAACCAGCAACGCACAAGATCACGAGCAATTAAGGAAAATAATCAAGCAAAATAAACTTTAAGTTGTGAAAAAATACCCGTTTGAAAGTACGAGGCCGTGCAGAGGTACCGGCAGCTTCATCCATTTGAATCATAAAAAGAAAATAAAAAAATAAAAAAAATATTAGCAATAGTTCATCATTTAACAAGGCCAGAGCCTAGAGCACATGAGCATACAATAGAAGAATAAAGCCTCGAAACAAAAAGAATAAACAGAAATCACTCAGAAAAGCATAGAGAGGTTTCTACAATATTGCCATGTGCCAAAAAGCTCGATTAAATTCCTTGTCATGCCAACCACAAAATCATAGACTTATTACATAGTTGACGAAGAAGTTCGCTCAAGTAGGAAAATTTGTTTCGTACCCTGTTAATCAGCTGTTCTTCTTGTTCAATTACACCTTAAAATATCAATTTTTAGATTGATATAGGAACCATATTACTGATAATTCCTATTTCATTGAATAATGGAGAGGGCAACTGTGAACTGTTATTGACTCATAAAAAATCTATACAAAAAAAGTCATGTCAAACTGATCAATTTCTATAATAAGAAATTTATAGATCTAAGCCAATCAAGTGCAATCAAAATTGGAGAGTTAATGAGACATACTGAGAGGATAAAAAAATAAATAAAGAGTACCTATATCATCCGGGGAAGAGAAGTTGCGGTGACCAGTGGGCTTGCCCTTGAACTTTCCTCTTCCCATTTTCAGATGAAGAGAATTACACAGAATGGGAGGAGGAGGAAGAGGATCGCTTTGCTTCCCAAGCGGCTTAGAATTTGAAGGTCCTCTCTGATTTTTTTTCGTATCAATTCCTTACAGGGACTCTGCTTCGTGGCCACGCGCGAGTATCAGGTTCCGGGAAAATAAAATCAGAAAAGGGAGATATTTTTTTATGAATTGTTCGTGGTATAAATGAATAAATAATGCTTTTTTTTTTCAGGTTTTGTATTACACTCCTATATTATTTGAATATTGATGTTATGATATTTAAATAAATACATTTTAATATTAAAAATATCATGAAATTGTCGCAAATAATAGCTAATCTCTGAATAAATTAATACATATGATTATGATATTAATTAAAATGGCTGAAGCATACTTTAGAAATTCTGTATTATTGATTAAATTTTTATTTTTAAAAATCTTATTTTTTATTTTATTGTAAAAAAATTCAAATTGTGATAATTTCCATCAACTCGTTTTCACGTGGAAACACTTTTTTATTATAGATATTTAGAAATATAAATCAAGTTCTTCAATATGTTAGTTGTCATTTAAAAAAAATAAAAAATACAAGTTTAATTTTAAAATGATTAAAGAAAAAAATGTCTTAAATTTTTTTTTGAAGGGGACCTAATATCATAATTTTTTTAAAATAATTTTTCCTGAAGCTTTAAAAAAAGAACAATTTTGTCATGCCATTAATATTTTCATTTGTTGATTGTTGTTACTTTAATGTTTTGTTTGGTTGAGAAGAAAATATGGGAGGAGAAAAAATGTGAGAGAAAAATAAAAAAAAAAATTGTTTGGATGAGGAAAGGCAAGTAAGAAAAAAATGAAGGGATTTTGAGATGAAATTTATTGTTCCATCGGTGCCCTTTTCTCCCCAACTTTTTCTTCCATATTTCATGCAGAACCACCTCTTTATCTTTACCCTTGAGCTCTTCATTTTTTCTTTGACTTTGCCACGATCTCACCTACATCTCGGCTATGTATGAATTGCTTATATTTAAGTTTAACTAATTATCATCTTTTAAAATTTTAAACAGAAAAATAATTTATTTTAAATAATTTATTTGGTTTTGAAATATAATAACACACAAGGATATTTTTCATAAAGTTAATTTTAATATAACCTTTTCCTTTAATTTATTTTTATAAAAACAAGTATGTGAGACTTGATATATTTTGTTATAAGAATATTATTATCATTATATTATCTGCTTTTCTTTTTTTTTCCTCTATATTTTTTATTTTTCTAAATAAGATGAGAGATAATTTTTCTTCTCTCATTTTTTTTCCCTAAACTCTTCTTTTTAGGGTAACTCTTTATTTGTTGGTGCAAACCCTAGGCCATTTTATTTTTTTAAAAAAATCCAAGTAGCTAGTCTCTAACCAGTCATTTTTTTGGCTTCTCTCTTTTGACCTCATCTTTGTTTATCCGAGCCTACTTCAATAGTCCATGATATATGCACTCTTTCAAATTATAATTAGGTAATGCACAGATTGATTGACTCATTAAACCTTTTTTTAATAATTTAAATGTTTAAATTTTTGATAACTTGCTTTTTAATTGTAAAAATTTTTATACGTTGATATGACTTAAACTATTTATTTGCATGGATTTTTTGTCACCTTCTATTAAAAAAAATAAAATTGCAATTAGGCACCTGTTGTAGCCCTTAAAACCTTTAGACCCTTAAGAGCGAAACCCTTCTTTACAAAACTTGTGAATGAAAATCCATAAGAGTGAGGAAATTAATAGTTATGGTGATGAGTTGGTTTGAATCACAAAGGCGAGGAATGAGGAGCTTGATCCGAGTGGGTTTTTCATTAGTGGTGTTGATGTGGGAGGTTTATATGAAGAACAAAGAGAAGAGGCAAGAGGATTGAATTGCACAAGCATGATTTGAATCACAAAAGCAAGAGGATTGAAGAGGTGGTTCCACTAAGGAAGAAAGAGAAGAATAAGAGAACATTGATGCGAGAGGTTTGTGGAAGATTAGAGTAGGTGATCTTTCTCAAGCCTCCTTCACGAACTCTCGGCTCTATTTTTTTTTTAACTTTTTTAAAAGTGAGGTGGCTATCATTTGATAACTAAAATCAAACAAACGGTCACACAAAGGATAGAATGAAGTTGCTCATGTTTTAAAGTTTTGAGATAAAATGATTTAAAAATAAGTTTTAAATATTAAACATTAAAAAAAAGTCTCAAAATATTTTTACTCTTCAACTCGTTTTAAAATTAGTGCTTAATTTAGATTTTAGTCATCGAATTGGATAAGGGGTACTTTTAATTTTTTCTCCAAACACTAAATTAAACAATATTTTATAATAAATACAGAACCTTTTATTTATTTATTTGGCCAAAGGAAACAGCGGATCCTTTTATTGTTATCAATAATTATTTTTTTATTTTATAGAAACACTATGTATTCTTATAAAAATAGGCTAAAATACATAAAATCTTTTTGAATTTTGAAACAGTTGCATATGACCTTCTTACTTTTAAAAGTTTAAAATTAACTCCTTAACCTTTAATTTTATTTTACAAAATCCCTTATTATTAATTATATTATTTTTTATGAGGGTTAACATGTCATTCAACTATAAAATATTATCAAATAAAAATATTATATTGTATAACTATTTATAATAAATTTTTTATGTTTTTTATATAGTTGAGGCATTAATAATAGTCAAAAAAAATGTTATTATCACTATATAAAATTTTAAATATTTAATTTTGTGTTTTTTTATATTTGTTTGTTATCAATAGTGCATAATTTTCTAGTATTATAAGATAAATTAATTTAACATGATAATATTTAAAATTTTAAATATTTTAGCCATGTGCATTACATTAATCTAACATGAAATATAAATAAAAATTTATTTTTTCAAAACAATAAAATCATGCACCATTGATAACAAAAGATATGGATAAAACTAATATAAACATAAATATTTAAAATTTTATATAGTGATAATAATATTTTTTTTGTTATCAATGTTTCAACTATCCAAGAAATATAAAAAAAATTTATAAATAGTAATAAAATATAATATTTTTGTTTAATAATATTTTTTAGTTGAATGACATTTTAATCCTCATAAAAAAATATAATTAATAATAGGGGGTTTTAAAAAATAAAATTAAAGACTGGGGGAGTTAAGTTTAAACTTCTAAAGATGAAGGGGGTTATATGTAACTGTTTTAAAGTTTAGGTGGGGTTTTATATATTTTAGCCTCAAAAATAATAACATTAAAACCATTGAAGATATTATTCCATATTTAGATTTGTTTAGTCAAAACATATTAAATTTTAATTTTTCCTATTTCTTCATAGGTATATCTTTCTATTTATCTTGTTATTTTTTAAAAAGTAAATGATTTTTCAATTTTCTTTTCATTTTCATTGATATAGAAAAATTATGCACTCAACATTTTGAAACAAACACATTCTTATTTTTAAATTGAATAAAAATTTTTATCACTAAAATAATAGTAAAAAGAAACAAGACAATTCAAAACAATCAAACTGTTTTTTTTTTTTTTTTATCTTGTTGAGTTTTCAAAACCTTGAGTCATTTGGGAGCTAGCGTAGGTCAACTATTATAACAGATTAAATGGTTGAATCAAACAATTTTTTCCACCTCCAACCATTCAAGTTTTTAAATATTGCTTGTAAACATATAAGAACTAGCTATGATGACACCTAACATAAAAGTTCACATGATCTTTAAATAATTAAGCTCACATAGTACTTGAATGTTCAGTTAAAAAATCATAAAAAAAGGGAAAAAATTAATAAACTTTAAAACACAACTCAAAATGTGAAATGGGCTGAGGGGCAAGATCAAGCTATGAGAGTGAACACCGGTAATCTCCTTTAAGTGGGAGTGACATACAAAACATGTGAAATATAGGCATCAACTTGTTCCCTGGAATTATCTTGGAGACCCATTTGAGTGCCATCATCTTTGGGAGACCAATCTCTCTTTTTATCAACATTATTCAGAGACACCGATGCAGATTCTGTTATTGTCCCTGACGTTTCACTCTCTGGCTTCCTCGCAACTTCTCTGCCTCCTTCTTCTTCCTCAAGCAACAACGACAACGTATTTGAAATTGGACTCCTAATCTCATTGCCTTCAACAGCACCGTCCGTTACTATTCCCAGAGAACTCAGGCCACTGTCAAGGCAAAACGATAATGATTCTTCTGCAAAAGACTTTGGATCCTTTAGCCTCCGTGCTAAGGGATACACACACACACACACGTGTGTGTGAATAAACCGATATGTCAAATCAGGGATTTTCGTCGTGGTCCAGAGTATATGTTTTTATCCAAACCCTTGTCATGGTTAAAATTGCATTTAGTTATAAAAAAAAAATTGCATTCAGTTGTCAGCTAAAATTAACTTTAAATTCGGAAATAAAAATAAATCAATATGCTCACGTGTACTCACTTAGTAATATATCCAATGGGGGATATTCAAAATAAAAAAAATCTAATCAGGGATGAACAAGAAGATCAAGCCCGATGACGGGTGAGATTTAAAACTGGATCTAGTTTTATATCTGGTCCAAAAAAATTTTCCAGTCATATTTATTAGTTACTGATTTTATTAAATAATTTTAGAAACTTGCTTATCTGAATTAAATAAGTTTAAATTTAAATTTAAATTAAGCTATTTATGTTTGGATATTATTACTGGTTAAATTTTTTTATAATTTGACATGAATTTTTTTTTCATAAACGATTGTATTGAATTTAAAAATTAACTAGATAAATATAGTTTGCGACTTGACAAAAAGGCAAGTTTTTGGTTTTTTTTTTTTGGGGCCAGAACGTGAAGTTGAAAATACGGAATATCGTATTTTTAATTTTATCGATTCAATTCGATGCTGATATTTTTGCTCCAAAAAATAAAAATAATTGACGCTGATATATTATAATATTTTTGCATAGTAAATATATCTATTTGGTGTATGAGATATATCGATCTCTACTAATTTTTATCAAAATTACAGAGGCATTTCTTATATTATATTTTTAAAACCTAAAATGCAATCCAATTTGTAATACAATTTAAAATATTCTGCTAAAATTTTTAAATTTTTTTTATTAGTTTAATTTTATATTTTGAAATTAAAATTATTAATTAACCTTGACCGTTTAGTGGCCTACTCTCTCTTAACCATTTCTTTTTTAATAATTTGAGAAAACATAATTTTAAATCCCTACACTTTGCTCGTATTTAATTATATGTCTTTGTAATTTTTTTTGGCTATATTTTTATTTTTTAGTATTCTAAATCCTTAAATGAATAAAGTGTAAAGATTTTGAAGGGATTTAGAATATCAAAAAATTAAAATACAAGGATCTAAAATACCCCAAAAAGGTACAAGGACCTATAATAAAAATATGAATAAAGTGTAAGAACTCAAAATTATATTTTTTCTAACATTTTTAAATAACCACTTCCTTCGTTTAAAAATGTAAGAGGAGTTAGATGTTAAAAAATATAAAATATTTTTAGTCTTTTAGGTGTAATTATTGTCATTTTTTAAATTTTTTTTATTAATAATGACTTTATATTTATCGTAGGGTATTTAATAAGGATAAATATGAAAAGATAGTGTTAGCTAAAAAGTAGGCAACTATTTTATTGGGAGATGAGATTAAGTTAAAAATACTTTATATTTTTAAATGGAAGGAGTATATGTTTTAAAAATATATAATATAGTGATATTTTTGATATATTTTAAAACTTTCTATTTTTTAAATTCACATTCTTTAACATAGAAGTGCTCTCTCTATTAAAAATATAAGATATTTTTTAAGAAGTTATATGTTAAAAAATATAAGGTATTTTTAATCTTTTAAGATGTAAGTATTGTCTTTTTTTCAAAAATATTCTTGTTAAATAAATTACTTTATATTTATTTTAGAGTAAAACACCATATTATATATAGGTAAATATGAAATGATTAGCTTAGTTTAAAAATAAGTAACTATTTTATTTATTAAGGGTTGATATTTGATTAAAAATAAAAAACTTAAATTTAATGAGTTATTGGTGGATTTACATTTGGGCAAGAGAAGATATGCATATTTAAAAAAAATAAAAATAAAAAAAGAGGTTTATGTGACGAAGGTGAATTATAAAAGAGGCTAAATTCTGTTTATACAAGGCGACATAAATTATGAAAAAAATAAATAAAATTAGATTAAATTAGAGCTTAAAAACATCCTGCACATATAAGAGGTGGACCATATGAAATCTCGATATCGAAGTATTTTACCCTATCTTTTGTATGGATTTGCTTTAACAGTTACTTATAAATATGATATTTAATTAATATTAATAATTTATTCTAATACATGTAATTTATTGATTAAAATATACAACATTTTTCTGAACGTTGAGGTAGTTGAACAAAACTTCCCTCTTTTTTAAAAATTTAAAATTAACATTTTTATTTTTTTTGTCTTTTTTGCCACAGATTCTCTACTGTTATTTTTTTATTTATTTTACTATTGAAAATTGTCATATTATATTAAAAAAAGACATCTAACAACTTGTGTAGCTAACAATGATTTAAAAAAAAAATTGATCTGTTTTTTTATTGTTAGTAGTGCATAGTTGTTTTGCTTTAAAAGATAAATTTTTATTGATATGTGATTCTTTTACAAGTTATGTTAAAAATAATTAAAATATTTTTTTATGTCAAGTACTATCTCATAAATTTGATGCAGCAAAATTTGTTAATAAGATAATATAATTATTAATGGTAAGTGGTTTTTTAAAAAAATAAAAATTAGAAAAATTAATTTTAAAATTTTAAAGATTGGGGATTGACACACAACTATCATACAGTGGAGTTTTCGGTTTTGCAGATTTTAGCTTGATTTATTTAAGTTTTTTCCCTTGCCAGCCAATTTATTTAAAGCTCAAACTATGTAAAACGACGTCGTCGTGGCTGTTGATAGCTCCTTCGCTCTTGCGGAAGTCTGCCAGTCTGAACCCTGACTTTGGACTCGAAGCAGATGGGTGGTGAACTAAGGAAGAAACCGAAACCCGCGCAGCTCAATCCCAACTGGATTCAACTCCAACAGGTACTTTTCCTAACCTTCTATATTCCAAGCATACGCACGCATGATCTCTTGATTGTCTTTCAATGGATACCTTTCACTTATTCGTGTTTATGTAATGCAGAAGCTCAAAATTCGTGGCTCTGATGCTTCAAGACCCTTCAAAAACTCAGAAACTGAGACCCCAAACTCAATATTGGGTAATATATGCCTTCCCACCCTTCTGTTAGTCCATATTGACTACTGCAGCGCTAATGGATTAAGCTGAGAGGTTTTGCTTTCTTGCTTTGACAGGGAAGCGGAAGGAGAGACAAGATGCAGAGTCCAATGATTGTCAGATCAATCCTCTTACTCCTGTAAATGATGATTCCAGGTGGTTCTTCTTATTTTTGCTGCTTGACCACATTATTTCTTCGTCTGCCGTTAAATATTTTTAGCCATTAAAGTTATCTCATTTGTTTGTAGCAGAAAAAAGTCATATCATTTGTTAATGTTGATTTAATATTTTGATTCTGGAAATTGATTGTATTTTCTTTTTCATTCTTATAAGCTGCTAAAAATATCAAATTAGATGCATCATTCTTTCATGTTACGTATCACTTCAAAACCTTTATTGAATTACTCATGCTTTGCTTATTGAGAAGATTGACTTCATTAGTTCATTTATCTGTAAAATCTACTATTGTAAAATCTTTTTTTTAATTCTTATTTAAAAAAAAAAGAAATTAACGTGTGATAGAAATTAGATGATGGAGCAGAAGCCTCAAAGAACTTTATTTAACTTTAAGATAACATGAGGAGATTATCCAATATGACTGTAAGATATCTGAAGGAAAGTCTGGCTTTAGACAAGGTTGGACGGGAAGAATCGAATGCTTACTGTGGGCCTCATAACTTTATTCATGCAATTCTACTGGGACGTAGATTTTGGGATTGAAGATTGTTGTCGTCAATTTAAATGATATCTGATTCAATGATCCTTTTGGGGACGTGTTGCAGAATTCCTTTGAATTAAGATAGTTCATGTTTGGTGGACATGTGATGGCACACTAACATAAACGAAATCTATAAATTTAAGCTGCATGTTCACCGTTTTTTTTTTTTCTTTGGTGTGTGTGTTAAGACTGCCATTATTGGTCTATTGTTGTCTCGTGCTCTAACTAAACATGTTCTTGTATGTTTGTAAATTTTTTATTTTTACCCTGTTATGAAGCATTCTACTCTTGTTTGGAAGCACTGTCCCTTAACTTATTAACCATTTGGCAGTCTGACCGATGCAGTAGCCATGGACTGTGAAATGGTTGGTGTTGGTCAAGGAAACAGAAGTGCTCTTGGAAGAGTAACACTGGTATTAAAATTTTTCCCACCCATCTTGTGATAGTCTTTACATATGTAAAATTATGTTTTATCCCAAATTACTTGGCATTGGTGACTTTTTATCATGACACAGATTGTTTGGTTTAGTCAAGTAATTAATCAATTATGGATTTATGTTATTTCAATAAATTTTTATTTACTATTAGGTGAGGACTTCTGCTTAAATTGTCAGTTAGTTAATTTCTTCTTTTCCTTTGTAACATTATTGGTTTGAATATTAACTAGTGTTTGTTATCAAATGAAATCTTATGCGTCTGGTCCTATGGTGTCAAATTTTATGAAGAAATGCCATCAAGCATCAACCTTGCGAGTTGGCTTGTAGTGTGAAGTTAATGCTTTTGGCTTGAAACTGACAACTCACCTAGTTCTGTTACTGATTTCTGATACTATTTCTTTCATGTCAGGTTAATAGGTGGGGAAATGTTATTTATGATGAATTTGTTCGACCAGTGGAGCGTATTGTTGACTTTCGCACCAAAATTAGTGGTATAAGACCTCGGGACTTGAGAAAAGGTTGGCTTTTTCTTCTTTCCCACCACTTAAAATATAGTTGATACTTGGAGTCAAGAAAATGCAGGAACGAGATGGTTCACACCTAATGTTCAAGTATTGAGGTTCAAAAGCTATGATTCAGGGCGATTTTATAAACTTTTAGTACTGGAACCACTGTTCTTTTATGTAGTCCTTAAGTTTGAATTTCCTCGAAAGTACTCACAATCTGCACTCCAATAATTGGCTGCATAACAAATGAAGTCAGGAAATAGTGACACCATAAGATACTTTTTCATGGTCAATGGATTATAATTGAAGAATCACGCGCATCTTTTGTCACCAGTCTTGAAGAAAAAAGTGATCTCTGAACTTTGAGTTTTGACCTTTGGGGATGTTATGATACTTTCCCTGATAAAAATAGACATTATACATGAACTTTTTGAATCTCCTATATTCTTGACCTTGGTTTCATTGCTCTCCAGTGGCTCACTGCTGAGCTAGCTTGCTAGATAAAATAAAGAAATTGCAAAATGCTACAATCCAAGCACAATGGTATTCCGCTCCAATAGCTTCAAATGTAAATTGAATTTGCATAATTTAGTCCGAACATCAGTTGCGTAGGGGCTATTGCCTTTCATGGTGGCCAAAGAAAAAAAGAAACTATTGCCTGTACTAATAATATAAAAAAGTTAATTCAACCTTGCAGAACTCAATTTTTAAGAGCAGCTCCATGCTTGATACTTGAAGGATTAAGATTTTGTTGGATCTTTTCTTTGATTGGATCTGATCAATGAGTGGGGGACACTGTGTTCTTGACACTGATGAGGAAAGGTATATGCTAATAATATGAATTGCAGCAAAGGATTTTTGGGCCGTTCAGAAGAAAGTAGCAGAGTTAATCAAAGACAGGATCCTTGTGGGACATGCCCTGCACAATGATCTTAAGGTAAGCATTTTGGTGTGTTTTTTCTTCCTCACCGCCCTTCCCTTGATTTCATTTCATATCAGGATAAGTTATGTTAACTATTAGATTGTATCTGGCAGGCATTATTATTAAGTCATACCAAGAAGGATATTCGGGATACGTCTGAGTACCAACCATTTCTAAAGTGCGGTTTTACTGCTTCTTAGTCTGCGTGTGTGCGTGTTTTAATTTTTATTTTTTGGCCATTCATATTTCGATTCCTCCCCCATTGCCATCTAACAAATTTGTGATTCTGGTTCACGCAGATCGCATAGTAAAAGAGCACTTCGACATCTTGCTGCAGAACATCTTGGTGCTAAGATCCAAACTGGGGAACACTGCCCTGTTAGTCCATCAACTTCCGTGACTAAGTTAAAGTAACATGTGGAGGAAATTTTTTGAATAGCCTAATCATGTAATGTAATGTTAAACTGTAAACAAATTTCACATGTCAGGTTTTTATTGAAGAATTTAATGATAACACATAGAACTTGTCCTCAGGCCAGAAAGCCTCGCTGACTTTAAGAAATACAAAGTGGCTGATAGTATACTTATTGAGTTAAATTCTTGAGTGTCTCCATGTTTGTGAAACTACATACCGTTAGGGGAAAACTCAGCTAAACGATTAAAAGTGATGTTTTAACTTTTGGACTGCATTCATACTGTTTCAGATAGAAGATGCTCGTGCTGCTATGCTGCTTTATCAAAGGAATAGAAAAGAGTGGGAGAAGAGTGTGAAAGATCAAGTTCGAATTAAACAGAAGCAGAAGAAACGGAGGCCGAAGAAGAAGCACAAGAAGCAAGTTTCTTTGGATGGGAATGCTGCGGGAGTTGCATCATAGCATTGGCTACCCCTTACGCTTGCAAAATTTTCTGGTCAGGGACCTCCATTTCAAACTTCCAATTGTTATTGTACTGGCTACTTAAAATTGATTTATTAGAAATTAGAAATTGTAGGAAGGAAAGACGCAGTTGATGGCAGAATTACCATGGTATTGTTTTATTGTAACCTCAAGAAAATTGATGGATAGCTTCTAAGCCCCCCTCCCCATCTCTCTTTCTCTCTCACTATTTTTGTGTTAAGTTTCGGACTACAGAGAGAAAATGAGATGATGATTGATGAAAGAATCTGAACTTGTATTCTCATATGGCTCGGTACATTATATAGGGCTTAACGCTCTAATTATTGGTTGCAACAGACTTAACAATCTAACTAGCTGTTAACTTGTCATAACCGCCTAACATAATGAATCGGAATGGCTTCCATGCTATAACTACCTCAGTCTCTAACTCTCCATTCTGTTCCCCTACGAAAAAAAAAAGGGAAAGAAAATTACTCAAAGCTAATGTGATTGCATTTGTTTTGATGGGATCTGGTTTATTGGGAATTCAAGTCAATTGATAATCTAGATACTGTCGGTTTGGCGCAATAGCATGATTGAAAGAGTAGCTATATATTCCTTATGAATATGATCTCTATTATAAAGCGTTTTTAAAAAGATTATTTAGTCTTTAACATAGGACACTTACTGATGTTTTAATTATATTTTTTTAATATTACTTCCATTCTATTTTTTTTAACCATGAGAATGTAATCGAATTTCAAACATTTTTATTTAAATAAGTGTAAAATTGAAAATTTATTTTATTTTCAGATAATATTAACGACTTGCCATTTCTCCCGTTAGTATAATATAGATTTTTTATTTAGAAAAGTAGTATCTGATGAGTTTTTATTACTAAACGAATTTAAAAACTAAAGATTAAATTGGCAAATTTTTTAGTACTTATAAGATTAATAGTTACTTTAATAGAAAGGATGTTAAAAAACGGACGAGCACGTGGCTTGGTGAGAAGTTGAGCTAGTTTAATCAATAATCTCGATTTTTGTCATGAATAATGAGTAAGTGTATGAAAAGAAAAAAGAAAAGAGAAAAAAGAAAAAAGAAAAAGAGAAAGAAAGGATGCTAAAAAGTAAAAATCGTAAACCTCCGACGGACACGTCCTCCAGTCCTGCAGGATCAGGTTCTCTTACCAGCATCCTGCAAAGCCCAACGGAAACGGCGCCATCAACTCTGATTTTCTGGACATTTAAACGCAACGTAACGAAACCATCTCTCTAGGTTCACACACTCTCTCTCTTCGAGTCTTCGTTTTATTTTTGTGTGCGGACTAAAACACAGACACGTTCCCCCTTGTCTCTCTCTTTCTCAATCTCTCGCATGATGTACACGTGACATGACTGAGCCAAAGCCCTACACGAGAGACCACTATTTCTCATTCTAATGCTCTGAATTTGACATTTGGATCCCAAGAGTGGCAACAATTATGGAGATGATGCGAATTTCAATTCATCGCCGATTGCTCTGTTCAGTTTACAAGGTCGTCTTGAGGTCCTACGTTAACAGCTGTCGAGCCGTGCTTTTGCCGCGGTTCGGCGGTCCTGAGGTGCTTCAGGTTCACTCCGATGTCCCTGTCCCTGATCTCAAACCCAATGAGGTCCTCGTCCGCTCTCGAGCTGTCTCTATCAATCCCTTAGATACTCGAGTGAGTTATATTGATTTCACCTCTTCTTCACCCTGTTTAATGTGGTGAAAATGGTTGCTGATTAATTAGTTGGTGTAAGTTGAGAAGGGTGTTAGAGCTTGGTTATTTTGGATGTAAGGGAGAGAATTTGCACATAGTTTGATGCGCAATCACTTGGTTGTTTTATTTATTCCCTTGTATTGATGCTGAGCTTTGTTCACTTGTCTGGTTCGTACAAAGTTTCTAGTTGCTTCAAAGAAACTAATTTAGAGGAATGTAATAAAAAGGTTGGTTGTTTCTTTAATTCCTCATCATTGTAAAGCCCCCTTTAATATGTGGAGCAAATGTTTGGTCATCTACTAAACTGGGTTCTTCAGAACATGGATTTTGATGCACTGTTAAACCTAATAAGACTACTGCGTGCGTAAGGTATAACCAGGTTGTATTGGAAAATGTTTCTCTTAGTTTCTTTCTAAGATGGTAATTTCAGTTTAAAATTACAAGGTAACTTTATATCCGAACATTATTTTTAAAAACATGCAATACTGCGTACATAGGGTATAACCAGGTTGTATTGGAAAATGTTTATCTTAGTTTCTTTCTAAGATGGTAATTTCATTTTAAAATTACAAGGTAACTTTATATCTGAACATTATTTTTAAAAACATACAATATGGGAGGGACATTAGGTCAACTATGGACAAATTTATCGGCAAGAGAAAAATCAAAATAATATTTGGAACTGTCTATTTCTGGGTGCTAATGTCATTCAAGTGTGAGGAAACAAAAACAAAATTTGTTTATTATATGTGACTTTGAGTTTTTTATGTTGAATTTAATTATTCTCTAGCAAATCTATAGCCCGTAAAATTGATAAAAAGTTATCTTCAGTTGTGCAGGATTGCGTGTGTATGTTTATATATTGGAATAAGCATTCAGAAATTTATTTCTTTCAGATGCGATCAGGTTATGGACGATCTATCTTTGAACCACTTTTACCAATCATTTTGGGTCGTGATGTCAGTGGTGAAGTTGCAGCTATTGGAGCTTCAGTGCGATCATTGGTTGTAGGACAAGAGGTTTTTGGTGCATTGCATCCAACAGCCATAAGGGGAACCTACACTGACTATGCAATTCTCCCGGAGAATGAGGTTACAGCAAAACCAAGTTCTCTTTCACACGTGGTATGCAGATTCCTTTCTCAGTTTGTACTTTGTACAAGAGTGGCTACTTATTTACTTCTCTCATCTTGATGGTCTTCTGCTCGTCATTTTTTTTTTGTCAGTCTCAAAGACACATAATATTTGCTAAGGCAGGTCTTTGTTATTTGGTATCACCATCATATCTTATATAGAATTGTTAGAGCTTTTGACATTCAACAAGCAGTTACAGATTCCCTCCCCCTCCTCTTGTTTACTTTGGACCCTTGAGTATATGCATGATTTATTGATCTTGTAGGAAGCAAGTGCCATTCCGTTTGCTGCATTGACAGCTTGGCGTGCTCTTAAAAGTACTGCCAGGATAAGTGAAGGGTATGTTTATATTAGTGAGATCATGTTTTTGTATTGGAAAAAAAAATTGTTGGTTAAAATAATGTTCTTTTCAGTTGTAGATTTGTTTCAAATTCTTTTGTTGAACTGATGTCACCTCTTTTTTTAATTATTTTTTTTAAATTCTCAATAGACAAAGGATATTAGTGGTGGGTGGTGGAGGAGCAGTTGGGTTTTCTGCAATTCAGCTTGCAGTTGCTGCTGGTTGCCATGTTGCAACTACTTGTGGACGTGAAAGTGTTGATCGAATGCTAAAAGCTGGTGCTGAGCAGGCTGTGGACTATGTTGCTGAGGTGGTGGTAAATCTGCTTTATATCTTGTTTCTAGCCATTAGTTCAGATACCTTGATCTTCTTGACATAGACAATATTATTGAAGATTATTTTTTTCCCCAAAACAAGGTTACAACTCATGAAAGACAATGAACAAACTTAACATAAATGCTTGACCTTAATTAGAGATGAAAATAAAAACTTACGACAAGAAAGGGGGATTAACAGAGGGATCATGAATGTAGAGACAACTGGACTCTGGCCTTTGACGAATGTAGCTAATGACTGACCTTAATTAGAGACGATGAAAGTGTTTTGTCAAGCTCATAGATATTTGAGAGCAGGGCACATACTGAAAAAATTGAAACATTACATTTTTACAGAAACAGTAAAATATAATTGAACATGGGATTACAATGAAATAATTGTGGAGAGAAATGGGTGGAATAGAAAAATGGGGGTTTAATTATGTAAAACATCCGATTCTTTTTCTGTTTAAATTATCTAATTTCATTTATAACCCTGAATTATATAATCATATTTAATACACAAATACTGTTGCTTTTTTGGAATTCTCGGAACAAAATTGTAGATGGAAAAATCTATAAACTTCCCTTTGTTAGTAGTTACTCGTGAAAAAAAAGGATAATATTGGTGGTAGCTTGCAGTTTTCTTGTGCAGAGTAGTTGTTTATTCTTTCAATTATTTTTATTCTTATGATTCGGGAATCTATTAAATGGTTAATGCATAGGTCTGTAAAGCAGTGAAGATGTAAATACTACATAGTACCACAAATAAGAGAGCTAAAAATGTCTTGCTCTCCCCCCTTTTTTTAAAAAAACTTGTCTTCATCAACAGGATGTTGAATTGGCTATAAGGGGCAAGTTTGATGTTGTTTTGGATACTATTGGTGTACCAGAGACAGAAAGATATGGCATAAACTTTCTGAAGAGAGGCGGGCACTACATGACTCTTCAGGTAATGGATAACATTGTCTCATGCTATTCCCATCTTGATCCATCACGTTAAAAAATTAACTTTCATTTGTTTTCTTTTTTAAATAGCCACATCTGTCCCTTAATTCTCTTATCTTTGCTTGAAGGGTGAGGCAGCATCATTGGCAGATAATTATGGATTGGCTATTGGGCTTCCTTTGGCTAAAGGTGCTGAGTTGAAAAAACAGATTAAATACCGATACTCTCATGGAATAGGTAAGAGATGGCAGTCTGACATGATTTTTTGCATTGACATTAAAGTATATGAAATTTACCTTTATCTGATAAAATGAAGTAACATAAGTTTCTCTGTAAGATTTTTTTCTGCCCTAGGCTTTAGAAGTATGTTGTGAGAATAGTCAAACTAATATTAAATGTGTTTATCTTAGAGAGATTTACTCCGTAGATATTGGGATATGATTAGATCATGGGAATTAATATTTGATTTGATTTGATTTCTGTTTTAGGAAATCCTTCTATTTTGTATATATATGTACAGCTCCTTTGTGAATGAGAATCATTGAGGAATTCTTGATTCAGAATGTCACATGGTATTAGAGCCAGGCACGACCTAACCTGGATGGTGACCCAACACTAGAGCTGAACTCAAACGACTCATAAGCCTCTTGTTCTTCCTTTCTAATCAGCAATTCATCCACATAGAACTCGCACGACCTCTGTTTGGCTCTTCTTGTCTCTGGTCAACGTCACGTTGAATCAGTGCTTCTTCCTAGAGCAACACAAGGTCGACGTCACACGTTCTAGAGGCACACGAAGGGGAGTCGCACGTTCCAGAGCCACTCATGACCTCAATCTCACGGTCACGACCCAGTTTAGAGTCGCTCAAAGGCGATGCTTCTTGCTGTCCAGAATCATACGTGCACTTGTCTCTAGAGTTGCACTCATGCCTGTGTTAGCCTTTAGCTATAGGCTTTAGTTCTGGCGCAGATAGTGACTCAATTCTACACCCACATGGCAGAACTCCTTAAGGGTTAAGTTTTGCCGAAGGGTCTTCTTTTCTTCTCGTCTCAGACAAGTTTAATGGCTGTAACTATCGTGAATGGGCCCAAGCAATTCAACTTGCTATCGGAGGAAAAGGCAAGCTAAGTTTTGTCACTGGCCACGCTCTAGACGCGTTAGACTCGAAGCTATTGAGAAGTGGGAGACTGAAAACTCTATGGTGGCTTCATTGCTAATCAATGCTATGACACCACAAATTCGGCGCTCCTTCATGTTTCTTCCAATAGCACAAGATATATGGGAAGCAGTTAAGGAGTCATATTCAAATGGTGAAGACGGTGCTTGACTCTATGACCTTAAGACACGAAGTTGGCAGATTAAACAAGAAGATTGGGAGTTAATTGAATTTTGGTTGGAGTTGGTTACTGTTTGGCAAGAAATTAATCCCAACACTGAAGAGGAGTGGTCATGTGCCATTGATGCAGTAAGGTACAAGCGCCGCGTTGAAGATGAGCGAGTTTTTCAGTTCTTGGCTGGTCTTCATCAATCCTTGGATGATGTTCATAGTCGTATATTAGCTTGCTCTCCTTTACCATCTACTTGTGATGAATTTGTTGAAGTTCATTGAGAAGCATCTCGTTGCAAGGTGATGTTATCTGCTCCTTCTACCGTTCCTCCTCAATTTCAATCTTCTTCTTTAGTGAGCAAGTACTTTGATTGGGGACAAAAGGATGCAAAGGGGAAGATTATATGTGACCATTGTAAAAAGATGGGCCACTCAAAAGACAAGTATTGGGACCTTCATGGGAAACCTCCTAACTGGAAACCTTATAAAGGTAAATCTCGTGGTTACCAATTTGCCTCTGATCTACCAAAAAAATCAAGTCTATTGCCTGCTATTGATTAAGACCAATTGAATAAACTTATAGACATGCTTCAGTCCTTACAATTTGGACAGTCGCCTTCCCCTTCTCATAATACTTCAGTAGCTAAGTAAGGTAATTCTTATTATGCATTCAATATTTGTTCCACTAAGTCTAGATGGATTGTTGATTCTGGGGCCTTGGATCACATGATTGTGGATTCCATATTATTTATATCATATTTCCCATGTAGTGGGCGTGAGAAAACTGACACTAATAATGGCACCTCTTCATCTATTGCCAGAAAGGGCAGTATTACTATCCTCTCAAACACCATTGTTCTTCTTTTCCACCCTCTGAGTACAAACCCTCTCAACCTTTCTCTATTGTTCATAGTGATGTGTGGGGTCCTTCACATTTTCCTAATCGAACTCACGCTAAATGGTTTGTTATATTCATGGATGATCATAACCATGTATGTTGGGTATATTTACTGAAAGATAAGTCTGACGTAATATCTATTTTTATTGAATTCTACACTATGATATTATATCCACTTCACACGTCCATTAAAATCCTCCAAACTGATAATGGCACTGAATATGTTAACAAATCTTTGGGTGACTTCCTTAAGTCCAAGGGCATTGTTCATAAAACTTCTTGTGCTAACAATTCCCAACAAATTGGTGTGGTTGAATGAAAGAATAGACACTTACTTGAAGTTGCTCGTGCCCTTCTTTTCACCACAAATGTTCCTAAATACTTTTTGGGGGATGCCATTCTTACTGCTGCTTACCTCATTAATCGCATGCCCAGTAAAATATTATCCTACTCTACCCCTCTTGATTGCCTTCGTCAAATGCACTATCTTACTCAGCTTGGGACAGCTGTTCCTTTGAAAAATTTTGGGTGCTCTGCATTTGTTCACCTTCATTCATCTTCCATACTTGAGCCTCAAGCTGTCAAATGTGTGTTTCTTGGTTACTCCTTGTCTCAAAAAGGCTATAAGTGGTTTGATCCTTCTTCTAAACGTCTATTTATTAGTCATGATGTTACTTTTTCTGAGCATTAATCTTGTTATCCCTCTCCTTCAATTCAAGGGAAGAACTGGAGTGAATTTGAGTCAACCCTTGATTGTGACCATGAGTATTCTCCTGTAGATTCTCTTGACCATGACCACCACCCTAACATCACTTCTCTTGAGCTCATGTCTATCTCTTTTATACCAGAAGCAAAAGAAAATGCAAGTTTAAGGGGAGATGAGAACACAGGTCCTAAAGGGAAAGAGATCAAAGTTTGCACACAGAAGATGAAACATTGTGGAAAAGCCCTCATGCCTAAGGTAGTGCCAAAATTTGAATTGGTGGAAGATTTTGGGGGAGACATACTTGAAGAAGATGAGAATATTAATGAAAACTTGGATATAAGGAAGATTTCAGAAGATGACTTGGAATTGCCAATTGCTCTTAGAAAGAAACCTCGATCATGTACACAGCATTCTATTCAAAAATACCTATCGTATGAAGCTTTGTCTCTAAATTACTGAGCTTTTATTGCAAATGTTGATGATGTTAGTACTCCTAAAAACATCTATGAAGCTCTAAAAACAACAGGATAGAGAGAGGCTGTGTTAAAGGAAATGAAAGCATTAGAAGAAATTGAGACATGGGAGATTGTGCAAAAGCCAAGGAACAAGAGACTAGTGAGTTGCAAATGGGTATTTACCCTAAATTAAAGGTCCAATTAGTGGCAAGAGGATTCACACAAATTTATGGCATCGATTATCAGGAAACCTTTGCACCAGTGGCAAAATTGAACACTATTAGGGTACTGTTGTCTGTAGCAGCCAATCTTAAATGGCCATTACACCAACTGGACATAAAAAATGCCTTCCTAAATGGGGAATTAAAAGAAGAAATCTATATGGCTCTTCCTCCTGGTTTTGATGAAGGGAGGGGTGACTAAGTATGCAAACTAAAGAAATCATTATGCTGTCTGAAGTAGTCCCCAAGAGCTTGGTTTGATAGATTCTCAAAGGTCTTAAAATTACAGGGCTACAAACAGGGACTATTGGATCATACTATATTTGTTAAAGCAGCAGGAGGTAAGAGGTGTATCCTTATTGTATATGTTGAGATATAATTATCTCTGGTGATCATAATGAACAAGACTAAAAGCCACTCTGGGAAGGGAATTTAAGGTCAAGGACGAAGTACTTCTTGAGAATGGAAGTTGCAAGATCAAAGCGGGGTATTTATTTAAACCAAAGAAAGTATGCATTTGATCTTTTAAAGAGACAGGTATGTTGGGGTGTAAATCAGCTGAAACCCCTATTGTAGTTCTAAAGAAGCAGAAGCCCAAGAAAGGAGGAAAATTCTGAGGAAGAGGATGACACTGATAAGGAGAAAGAGAAACCAATTGATAAAGATAGATATTAGAGACTTGTTGGGAAACTCATTTACCTCTCACACACAAGACTTGACTTGGTATTTGCTGTGAGTGTAACTAGTCAATATATGTGTGAACCAAAGGAAAAAATACATGGAAGTGGCATATAGGATTCTAAGGTATTTAAAGGGCACTCTCAGAAGAGGCTTGTTGTTCTAAAAGCATGAATGAAAAACTATAGAAGTTCATACAAATGCAGATTGGGGTGGACATCACTCAGATAGGAGATTTACTTCTGGTTATTGCTCATTTGTGTGGGGAAACATCATTACTTGGAAGACTTAGAAGCAAAAGGTGGTCTCCAAAACTAGTGTTGAATTGGAGTTAAGGGCACTCGCTCAAGGCATAATGGAAAAACTATGGTTGAAGAGGATCTTGGAAGAGATCCATCTCCAATTGGATTTACCACTAAAACTATACTGTGATAATAAGGCTTCCATAAGCATGGCCTTGAATCCCATCCAACATGAAAGGTCCAAGCATGTGGAAATAGATGGGCACTTTATCAGAGAGAAGGTGGAAGATGGAATCACATTCCTAGCCTTTCTACCAACAAATCTTCAACCGGCAGATGTGTTGACTAAGGGATTACATAAACATGCTTTCAAAGGTTATATAAGTAAGTTGGACATGATCAGTATCTATGATCCAACTTGAGGGAGAGAGTGAGAATAGTCAAACTAATATTAAATGTATTTACCTAAGAGAGATTTACTCCTTAGATATTGGGATATGATTAGATCATGGGAGTTAATATTTTATTTTATTTTATTTCTGTTTTAGGAAATCCTTGTATTTTGTATACATGTGTACAGCTCCTTCATGAATGAGAATCATTGAGGAATTCTTGATTCAGAATGTCACATATGCACAAGGAGAAAATCATGATTTATTGTGCTGACAGATGTAATATTTGTGCCTAATATTTTCAAAGGAAAACCAAGTACCTGAAATCTTCCCTTTGCCCCTACTCAATATTTGGAAATGAAGTAGTGAGGCAGAAATTCAGAGCATTGAAAAACCAATTTTGAAAAGCAACCTTCTGAATGGAAAAAATAGAAATTCTGTTTACATTCAGATTCGTTTAGTATCTTTGGCACAAATTTTTACACTGGACAAGCCATGATAGACAATTTTTTTCTGGTCCAACTAAAAAAAAAGGAAAAGAAAAAAAAAGAGGGGGAGAGAGACAAGAACTTTTAAAATTACAAGATGAGGAACTAATCTAGACATAACTTAACTACCATCATCTAGTCATGTACAGACATCCAAAGGTTACTGGTGACATGATCCTGAGGGAAAATAAAAAAGAGATGTTCAATGATATGGTACTGCTGTGAAAAATTGTAATGAATGACTGCCTTTCAAGCAAAATTTTGTTATCACCATCTATGAAAGAATTTGTGTCAACATTTGAAAAGTTGAAACTTGATCTACACCTTTTTTGGTATCCAAGTTCTTTTATAGATTTCAGATGTTTGTTTGTTGTCCACATAATTCGTTTACAGATTTCATAAGTCTATTAATGATTTAAGTTGCGACATAGATTTCAAGCTTTATTGAAGGTTGTTACTTGAAGGAGCCAAAACTGCAAATAAAGAAGAGAAGAAACGTGTTTATTTCTAGTTTGCAGGTGATTGTTGTTTTAATGTGTAGTAGTTGCCCTCACTACAAATCTCACCAATATTTCTGTGCTTTATGATTTCTTGGTTCTGTATTTTGTTGCCTTCAAAAGCTATGAATAAGAACCAAGCTGCATCTTTTTACCCCCTCCTGGGTTGTAAATTGCCAGGAAAATCTATGAATTGATGACAACGTTGTGATTTCCTTGCTATGACAACTCATGCTGTGAAGTGCTGTACAATTTTTTAAATATCATTATTGTGTAAAGCCAATTTCATTTTTTGGGATTCAGAATATTCATGGACATATATGAGAGCGGACTTTGAAGGTTTAATTGAGATCCGGAAGCTATGTGACGCTGGGAGGCTGAAGATACCTGTGGATAAAACTTTTCCCATCACACAAGTGAAAGATGCTCACGTGGCAAAAGACAAGAAGATCATTCCTGGTAAAGTAGTGTTAGAACTTAGTTGACGTCCTCAACATCATGAGCGTTGCTTCAAACCCGGATCCTCCTCTTTTTTTCCCCCATTCTTTTACTGTTCCCTTCCAAAAAAGTTGTTCATTTTATTTTATTTTTTTGTTAAATGGATAGTGCCTTTTGGTCACGTGATAGGGAATATCTTATTAGTTTTTCCCGGTTCTGTCTGTAGGATAGGAAGTGGAAGTTTTGTAAATCTGATTCATAATATCCAATCATAAATCTGTATGTTGGTTGAGAAAGCTATGTGACGCTGACTTCTTTTTTCTTTATATCCTTTTTTGCATCAACTTAAAAATGCTGTGGAATAATGGCATGTGCCAGATGCGCTCCCTTTCATTAGCCATGTTCTTACATTGTTAATTAAAGAGAACATAGCTGAATCATTAGCAAGCTGTATATCAACCTTAAGTGCTAGAGTTAAGCAACATTTGTCTTGGAAGGCACCCTTTTCCCGCCTATTTGACGCTTGAATTAATAGAAAGTGTTCATGCAAATGCAAGTATAGTTTTTCCTTTTTGAATGGACAAATATAAGTGTAGTTTTGAAAACCAGCGTAGAGACTTAACAGTGCAAACACCATTGGCACTGACGAAATCAAAGTGACAAGGTATTCGCTCTCACGTGATGGAAAGAAATGAATCTATTTAAATTAAATATTAATAAATTTTCAAAGAATGGACAGGATCGTCTTGAGTGGAAGGGAGGCTGCCTTATGTTGAGTATAGAATTATTACCTCAAATTATAATATTGCCAATTACATAATAATCTTTTCAAGAATTGATGTCCGCAAAGCACTTTTTGTCTGCTTGTGATACCGATGTTGGGTCAAGTCAAGCTGTCATTTCTCAAGAAAGTTTTACACTTTCACTCCTGCGTTCTAAATGATAATCTCTGGGTTGGAAGGGAGGGGCATTTTTAATTAGATTTTTCTCCCTCCGTTTAAAAACATTAAACAAATTTTAATTAAATTTCATTCTTAATAAAATAATTATTTATTTTTAAATTAATTTTATCTTTTTATATTTATTTTTATTAAATATTTTATAATAAATATAAATTATTATCAATAAAAAAAATTTTAAAAAAATAATAATTATACTTCGAAAGATTAAAAATATCTTAAATTTTTTAACATTCAACTTCTTAAAAAATAATTTATATTTTTAAACAAAAAGAGTACATACCAATGAAATAATTATTTATTTTTAAATTACTCTTATTTTTTATATTTATTTTTATTTAAGAGGTTTATTTTAAAATAAATATAATATAATTTATTCAATAAGGGTACTTTTATAAGATAATGATTACACTTAAAAAATTAAAAATATTTTATATTTTTAACATTTAATTTTTAAAAAATATCTTACAGAGTGAGTAAAATTTTATTTTATCAAAAAAATTATAAAATTTAAGATAATATTTATATTAAAAATAAAATACTCTAATAGTTCTTTTTTAAGAATAAAAATAAAATAAAATATTGATCAAATTAATTTAGGTCAAAAATCTAGAATAGCAGAGCTCACAGGGAAAAATATATAAATAAAGAGGGGTCCCAATTATAAAATATCTGAAAAAATATTATATTTTTAAATTTTAATAATATTCTTGAAATTTGAAAAACAGGAAGAATTTATACAAATAACATAGTTTCTGTTATATTTTTATTGATTGCATTTTTATAATAATGTTTATATTCATTAATTGGTGAGGATATAATTTAAAATTAATTTTTTTCGAATAAATAAAGCAACATAGTGATTTTTCTTAATTTGAATGAAAAATTTCAAGCCCTTTGTAAAGATTTTAAATTTCACAATTATGTTTAAGTTCCTTTTACTGTATCTGTTTGCCGCGCGGTCTGATTGATCATAAACTTGTAAGATATTGGGACAACTACCATAAAAAATTTTATTATCAATAAATCTTATAAAATTTGCAAAGCATCTTTAAGTCTCAAATTCTATACATTTACAACTTGACAATTAAGCAATAGTCAATTGCATAAAATTTAAAATTTAAAATTTGAGAGAATTTCGTAAAATTTAAAGAGACTCTTCATAATGAATTTTTTTATGTGAAATCTATCTATAATTCTTTTAGGGAGAATTATATTAAAATTTTATAAAAAAATTAATTATTATAAGGTTTAGTAAAGTTGTTGATTGTGTTGTTAATTTCTTAACAACTGATTATGTTGTTAATTTCTTTAATTTAATTGTTAATAAATTTTATAATAATTAATTTTGTTTATGTGAGGTCAGAATGTAATTCTCTCTTTTTTGTCTTTTAAGATATTTGCCTCGCCTGCTATTAATTTCAACGTAGCCAATCTTTTCCTGCCTAATTTGCCAAATGCTTCTCAGATACTTTCATATTTATTCACCTTCTTTCTCTTCTCACCCTCTCAAGCTTCGTTTAGGGAGAATTATATTAAAATTTTATATAAAAAATTAATTATTATAAAATTCAGTGATAATTACATTAAAAAAATTAACAATTAATTGTATTGTTAATTTCTTAACAACTGATTATATTATTAATTTTTTTAATTTAATTATTAATAAATTTTATAATAATTAATTTTATTTATGTGAGATTAGGATGTAATTCTTTTTTTTTTTCTTTTTAGATATTTGCCTCGCCTGCTATCAATTTCAACGTAGCCACTCTTTTTCTGCCTAATTTGCCTATTGCTTCTTGGATACTTTCATATTTATTCACCTTCTTTCTCTTCTTCTCACCCGCTCAAGCTTCGCTTTCCACGCCACCTTGGCTCCCAGCCCATTCCCCTGCAAACGATCGCAAGAATATATTTTAAAAAAAAAAATTCTGTCCTTTAATTTTGAGCTATTTATGACAAGTCTTTCATCGTTGAGAATTTGAAAAAGGTTTTATTATTATTATTATTATTATTGATGGTCATTGATAAACAGCTGCCAGACCCTAGGACAGCTAGTGAGTTACATTTTGCTAAAGACAAGCAACCTCTCTCTCTCTCTCTCTCTCTCTCTCTCTCTCTCTCTCTCATGTGCCCTGCAAACTGCAACCTGCAGTACCTCTCTCTGCAAAGAAAGGCCCCCAAGTAAAGATCTTTTTTCATTCAAAATCTCTTTTCAAATTTGAATGGCAGCCTTTTTGCATATTAGACGTGCTTATGATCCCCAAAATCATTCTCCGGTCAATGCCCTCTCCAGTGGAATTTGTTGAAAGAAATGAAATGGACAGGAAAGAGATCCCATGAATGAAGCTTTTCTTCAGTTGTTTCAGTTCTCATTTCTCTTCTTCATCCAAGACCATGAAGTTCTCTTCCAAGTGTATTCTTAGCCCAGGCAGCAGCAGGGGCAATAGAGAACCATCTCAGATTTCTTTATCCTCTTCCTTGAGCAGGAAGCTTAGAAGTAATAGGAGCATCAGAAGCGGACAAGCTTCTCCAATGTTCCCAACAGCGGCCAAGAAAAAAGGCGGTGCCTTTGAGAATCCAGAGCCTTCTTCCCCCAAGGTAACGTGCATTGGGCAGGTGAGGGTGAAAACCAGAAGACAGGGAAAGAAGATTAAGACAAGATCCATGAGAAGAAAAGAAGCAAACCCAAATCTCAGCGGACAAAAAAGCCAGAATTTTGAGTATCAGAATCACCAGAATCTGCGACAGGAGTGTTTGCCTCATCAAAATCAGAGGTGGGTTCATCTTCCTCTCACAATTTGTGAAGCTCTGAGGGGATTTGGAGCTGAGTTCAACAATTGCTTCTTTCCTTGTTGGTCTTGTAAATCAATTGAGAAAGATGAAGAGAATAAAGTAGGAGGAGGGACAGGGGGATCCGGACGTGGGGCTGCATTTGCAGGATGGCTGGCGGCTTTAGAAGAAGGAGAGAAAGATAGAACGGATAGGTTAGAGGGGAGCCAGAGAAGACGTGTGCTAGAAGATATTGATATCGAGGCGGAGAAGCAAGATGATTTTGTAGGAGAAGAAGGGAAGGCAAGGGTGAGTGTATGCATTCCGCCAAAGAATGCTCTATTGTTGATGAGGTGCAGATCTGATCCTGTGAAGATGGCAGCTCTGGCTAATCGGTTTTGGGAGTCACCGGCTCAGAAATATGAAGAAAGAGAGGGTAATGGTGATGAAGATGGAGAAGTAGAAGATGAAGTGCAGAGACATATTGAAATTCCAACCCAAATAAGAGAGGATAATGCTTGTGGAGATCATCTAATCCCAGATGCAGAAATAGAAGCCACAGTAATGAAGGGTTTCGAACGTGGCAGTAGAGAAATCCTAGAAGAAAAGGCAGAGGATGGAAGAGTGAACTGTAATCTGCAAAGTGAAACCTTGTTCTGTGTGCCTTCGCATGAAGGTCAAGTTGATCTCGAAAAGCTAGAAGTTGAAGATGTTCAGCCCAATATGCTCCAAGACGGTGAAGAAGAACTGAACGAGAAAGAAGGCCACATTGAACAAAAAGATGCAGAACGTGCTTCCTCCCCAGCAATTATGGCTCAAATTTCAACAAAAACCACTGTGGAGGATGAGAAAGACACTACAGAGAGCCTTCGGGAAGACAAGGAGACAGCGACCCGAGACAGACCCGTCCTTGATTACTCAAAACTCCCAGAACAAAAGGTGGTTGTGGAGACAAAGGAGCGAGTAAACCAATCAGAACCAAAGAGGGGAAGCAGCTCTGGTTTGCCGGAGTGCTTGCTTTTGATGATGTGTGAGCCGAAGTTGTCCATGGAGGTTTCGAGGGAGACTTGGGTCAGCAATACGGACTTCATCCGATGGCATCCCGAGAAACCTGTGAAGAAAAAGGACAGCGGTGACGAGCCCAGTAAGAGAATCAGCGTCGACTCTAAACCGCCGCTGCCGCCGAGGTCGTCTTGTTCATTTCCGGCTCCGGCGGCGGGAATGTCGATGGCGACCATGATAGAGCAGAAGCTCGGGGAATCCAATGCATGCGAGCCGTTAGTTCTCACGCGCTGTAACTCGGAGCCGATGAGGTCATCGGCTATCCTCGCGCCAGAGGCTTGTTTCTGGAAAAACAGGAAGCTGGAGCCAAACCATCCAGCGGCTACGCTCCGGATCGGCGAGGCTGGGGTTGGTTTCTGACCTCAAAATTTTATTTATTTACTTTTTAATTTCTAAAATAATCATCGTACATTGTAAGAGCTGCGCGGGTAATTTTAGTTAGTCCTATGTAGTAGTGGTCTTGCCAGTTTAGCTTTTTCTAGAATAGTTTCAGAAATTATTCACTGTAGCCTTGTACTCGCTTTGGCTCTGTAACTTGGTCATAAAGTTTTGCGTTCAAGCCTCAATCCTTTGGAGGAGTTAATAGTAATTTACCCTAATTGTAGATAGGTCAAATGTACATGATACTGGTGTTTTAACTAGTATAGACTATTAGACCCACCAGTTCCTAACTTGTCCTTTTTTTAAATAAAAACCAGAACAATTATAAAACCGGCTACACTGGTTTGAGGTTTTAATTCAATAAAGGGTGGGCATTTAATCTTGTGTTGAGGTAAACGTCGGTGGGAAATAAAATTGGTTGGAATCTTGTATGTTCATCCATTTGTGCCTTCACTGTCACGTTCTGAACTGAATGCAGAAAAAACAGAGGAAACACGTTATGACAGAATTGAATGCAGAGTTCTATTACTTATTACGATTGCCTTCATGATGATGTGACGGAAGAAAACTGGTGTCAAAATGCTTTAGCCACTCCACGATACCAACACACCCATATAATAAAAAAAAACGGTAAGCCTGTCCAACACGAAAATTGTTTCTTGCGCTACAAAACTTTACCTGAATTCATGGGCAATCACTCTGAGGTGGCAAAGAGGATAAAACTTGTACAACTGACATTAAAAATTACAAGACAGAAAGGGAAAAGTTTCGGCTTATCTTGCTCTGCATCTTCCTCCCCTTAGAATAAACCGGGAAATATGCAGTGTAGCTTTGGTGAAGCCGTGAAGGCATTGAGAAGAATATGTGAATATAACTTTTCAAGAAAAGTATTCAGTGGATTTAGTCAATTAGCTAAAACAAAAATAAATCTGAAATTCTGAGAAGAGGAGGGCAATAAAATAAGGTAGCCTCTACCGCATTCTATTTTAAGACTGATAATTACATCGAAGGTAGATTGACTTCAAACCAATTGACCATGACTCTCAAAAGTGAAAGAGCCATGGTGAAGATCACCTCTACAAATCAGTAAGAGGATCTGGACCTGTTCCTCCACTTCAACTTCATTAGATTCTCACTATTGTTTATCGTTCGAAGTTTCATCTTCAGTCCTGTTGCTCAGTTGAGTGTTATTTGCGGGACCCTCAACTGATGAATTTGATAAACCTTGCCGTCCAACGCCTTGGCTTTCAGTTTTCTTTTCAGTTGAACCTTCCGTAAGGGAGTTCAAGGCAAGCTGGCCAGAATAAAGGAACAAACCTATGGAGTTGATGCCAAAAACAAATGTAGCGAGGTAGCACAAGCCATTCACTATTGTCCTGTGTAAAGAGGTCAAATGATTAACAGATCTTTGAAGAAATGATCAGAAAGGACCCTGGGAGATAAGCAATGGATTTACCTTACGGTGATTGTTATCTGGCGCACCTGAAAAGCATAAGATTTTCACAATCAGACTATTGTAGGCAGGGTAGGCCCAATAAAAAAGGACTTGGGCTGGCAACGGAAATCAGCTTTCAGAAAATGTCTAACAAAGGACTTAAAAGTGTTGATCTGTTGTGAATTTGTCTTCTATCCCATGTTAATTCAACAAAATGCTTCTGTATAGAACACAATTTTTTTTTTTTCCCTGGCCTGAGATCACAAAGATTAAACAGGCACATGTCCAGCCATTCACTTTTGTCCTGGCAAATGACAAATGCATTTGTAAGGTTCTTCATTGGTAAAGGATACTTTTTCAAGGCAGAAATCTGATGTGAACAATTTTTATAGCCACAATTCCTGTCGATATTTGAATTTCATGTTAACAAAATGCAAGACATAAATTGGATTGTTTCTTTGACTGCAAAATTAGCTTTTCCATTTCCAGTTAAGTGTTCTAGAATTTCAATATCAATATCATTACATTAAAAGAATGGTTGACCACACAGGCAAACAAATTCAAAGCCATTAATTGAGCTTTAAAACAAAAATGAAACTAAGAGAGCTACATAACTCCCGTAAAATAATTTCACCAACATTATAATCAACAATTAGCAATATCCCGGTTATTCAAATGTTAGTAGAAACCTAACGCTCTTGGCTTCTTTCTTTGATCCATCCATTTCCCCCCTAAAGCACTATCTGAACGCAAACCACAAAATAACTTCTTTGCAATAGTAAAATAGTCAATCAAGGAAGATAGGATAGAAAGGCAAGAGACAAACCGAGAAATTATCTGAAACTGTTTGGCGATTTAGAGCTGCCTCAATGGTGGTAGTGAATTTATAGAGAATAAGAGCAATAATACCAGCTGATATTCCCCCTATCAATGCCTGAACAGGTGAAGGTGTACCCTTAGCTTCAATCGAAGATGACCCCATCGCTTTCAAGTTATCTAATGCTTCTTCCTTCAATGACTTCTTCACTCCCGAAGACCTAAATTTCTATACCCACCAAACTCATGTCAATGAAAATATACCTTGATTCCAAAAATTAAAATTAAATCATTGAACTTGCTGGTCACTTTCTTAGCAATAGAAAGTATTGTAATTATAATTATAATTAAAGAAATTAACGATTAGGACATATTTATAGACAGTTAACACATATGTACAAGAAAACAGAAAACTAGAGAATAATTATAATTATAATGAAAAAATGCAGCCTACCAATTCTTTGGCACGTTTTGCCCGACGCCGGATGGATCGAAAGAGGAAGACTGTGATGGCTCCGGTGAGAAGAACACTGGTAGCGATTTGAATTGTAGAAGGCTCGTCCGTGGTGGCGAAAATGGAGGGCGTAGACAATGGAAGTTCGATGGGGCCATCTTGCGCCGTAGCCGCGAGTTCTGCAAGATGAGTTAACCATGGTGAAGAAGAGGAAGGAGGAGTGGCTGAAACAGGATGAAGAATTGTGGGTTTGTGAAGAAAATTGAGAAAAGGGGACAAAGTTAAAGGAATAGAGAGAGAGGGGCTATGCGGGAGCGACAAAGGAACAGAGGGGATTGAGAAGAGAACGTGGTGGTAGCAGTGGGACTGCAACATCGCAGATGATAAGAAAAAGCCTACAGAGAGAAAGGGAGAGGAAGGGACGGAGGGAGGGAGAAGAAGAAATATAAATTCCTTTTCTTTCTCAACACCACTGATCAGTGAGCTGGGTCTGCTTCTTCATCTCCTACACAGAAGTGGAGGCTCTCTCTAAATATCTTCTGCGCTTTGGATTTTGGTGGGAAACCGAAATATCCATACACAAAATTTTTTTTTTTCTCTCTCTCCATTTTTTTTCCCAGGATGATCTTGGAAAAATAATAGTATCTCTTGTTTGCTTTTTCAATATTTCGCTGTCATTGCAACTTTTATTTTTAACATGAAATTCCTTTTTTGATGTCACTTTATTGATAAGAGTTATGCAACCAGAGATAAACTTACATTAATGTGTTTACGAAATTCTGAATTTTTACATGCACTAATTGCAGAAAGAAGTACTGGTAACTACCTTCATTATCATATTTTTTTTTTCATAAAAAGTAATTTCTTTGATATTTAATAAAATTATATACTTATATATACAATTATATACATAAACTTTTTTAATGAGAGAATGACAGTTAGGTCCATAATAAAAAATTTTATAAAATAAATTATAAATATTAATTTAAAAAGTTATAAATAAAAATTTCTATTATAATTTAAAAATTATATTTAATATTTAAATACTTATTTGCAGTTGAAATTCTTGAATTTATAATAATTTAAGTACATATTTTTAACTTATTGTTTTAAAAAAATTGTTGGGGACTTCATTGGCGTTAGTGTTTCGAGACGTAACTTTTATTCTCCCTAAATTCAATTTTTTAAATACATAATCAAACACTTAATTATAATAGTCATCATTTGCATGTTAATATTTTTTCGAGTATCATGTTAAAAAAAAAAAATCATGCTCATCTCAGAAAATATCCTGCTCTTTCACCTCCTACGACTACCCTCAGACAATCTCGCCACACAACGTAATCAAATGGTTCGCCTGCATGTATGTGTGCGTATGAAGCAACACACCCAATACATGTCTATATACATTACATTATAATATGTAAGTCTTTCTTTCTTTTTTTCAATGGGAGAATATTAACAAATAAACCTAAAAGTAATTTAATTTCATAAAATGACTGCTTACAAGTAAATATTAATAATTAATGAGTGTACTTATTGTTTTAACAAGTATCTGATTCGTCCAAATTCTTATCGGATGCTAAATTGTTTCAAAGATAATGTTCTCCCTTTTTTGATATATTTCAATAAGAATATATCATATATTTTGTCAATTTATTAATGGAAAATAGCGTGTACGAACATTAAAGACAAAGAAATGACAATTATATAGTCCCAAAAAAAAACTTGTTCTCGTTGCAGATCGAAGCAATTCCCGTTTTTCCTTCCCACACTATGGTACATAGGTGCAAAGTCTCATTCAATGTTATTGTTTTTGGGTAATGCTTATGGAAATAACCAGAACTCCAAGACATGACATCAAATCATGAATAACACAAAAAACAAAAGAACAGATTAGTGGAGTTTCCTTCTTTCTTTCTTTCTTGTTGTGTCAATAATGAATATTAAGTTTAGCATTCTTGACGAACATTAGAGGCCACAGCTCTAGCCCAAAACTTGATATGCTGCTTCATGTCCTTGGAAGACTTATTTGAAGTGCAAGTTGGGATTGGAGGAGGAGGATGAGGAGGAACACAGCTCTGGACCAGCCATGCCTCTGATAGGTATGGTCTTCTCACAGACTTGTCTTTCTCTGTTTCTTCTCTGTTTTTCTCTTGCAAGCCTGGAATAATGCTGGCTACGCTTGGGCTTATTGTTTCTTTCTCAAACGAGAATCCCAGGTCCTTAAACCCCTGAACTTCTTCAAATTCTAGATCGCTCAGGCTCTTCCTCATCGTCCTCTGCTTCAAGTACCTTCTTCTCATCTCTTTTATCCCTTCTGTGCTGAAGCTGCTTTCACCCTCTGTGCTTCTCCCTGGTCGACTTCTTGGAATGCTGTAACTCTTCAATTAACAAAAACATTCTAAGAATCACTTGTGATTCTTGGAATTCTAACTTTGAGTATGAATTTACCAGACAGGAGCATTCTGCAGCTAGCTAGCTATACATGCAGGGATGATTCTATACTATGTTAAAAAGTTTTGTCCTTTGCCTCTTGGGTTGATTTGCGGGGCAAAAGGGAATTTACGCAGAAGCTTAACACATGCTCAAAATGAATTTGCATTTTGTTTGAAACTTTTGCCCTCTGCCCAAGTTAACCCACTAGACAAAAAGAGAATCAAGAATTTCACGAACACCCAAATTGACAGACATCTGAATTTTGTAAAGAGGCCCTGTTGGTTCCTAGGCCAGAACGTCAGGCGTAGGTATCTTGATTTTATTGGCTTTGTGTATACAGCACACAAGTATTGGTTCTTAACCAATAATATCAGAGTAATTTGTTCTTAATACTATGTTTTAAACAAAGAAGAAGAAGAAGAGAAGAGAAACTTTTGGCCTCTTTGAACAGGACGCAGAAACGTGTGCATTTTAATGAAGCATGAAAGATGAGAACATATCTCTTCCAAGTCTATAAAAGGAAAGCCGAAGACAACAGACTGTACCTTTGAGGTTTGTTTGCCAGGTCTGGGATCACATACTTGAAACTTCTCTTCTCTACCAACAGAAGGAGGCAAAGACGGTGTTCTAAGAAGTTTGCTTCTCTTTCCATTACCCTCACTCTTATTAACTTCTTTCATCTCTCTGCTGTGAGCTTTGATAGCTGCTTCAAGCACCAAAGGATCTGATGATTGGTGCAACAGTCTGCTTCCGCCAAAACTGTTTGCTTTCTGAAATTTTTTTCCTTCTGTCACTTCACTTGCTGATGAATTGTTGGCTGCTTCATCAGACTCCTTTCCCTTCAGCAACACAGGTTCGCTCACAAGGCCTGAGGAATAACATGGATCAGAGTTGCACCTTGGGATCCTTGGTCTTCTTGTGATAAACAAGTTCTCAAAGAACCAGCTCTCTTCCAAAAGTTCCATGGCCTTCACTTTTTCATCCCTGCAGAAAGAAGATCCATTAGATTCATCATTTGGATCCATGGCTTTTTTCAACTCAGCTTCCCCCCCCCCCTTCTGTTACTGTATTTGCATTACAAAGCCCTTTTTGCATCCGTAAAATACTTATCAAGAATTCTCTGTCAAGCGACATAAGGAAAATCTTAAATTAATCAATAATGTAATAGAGGCCATGGATCAAGTTGAGGAATATTAAATAATTAATTAATAATGTACGTAACTGGATATTGAATGTAAATCAGAACACAGCATATGATTTGATTGGAAATTCTGAATTCTGATCCATGAATGAAGTGAGAGCTGTGGAATATATGCCAATAATAATAATAATAATGGTGGTGCTGTGTTATGAGGTTGGTCAAGTGAGATATTACCCATGTGCTTTCAGATTTTTCTTTTTATTATTTGGTTTCCATAATGAGCTAACAGTTCAAAACAAAGTGTTGTATGTGTTTAAAAAAATACAAGCTGTGGAAAGAGTTTGATGAGTTAATGATATAGGTCATAAATTCCAAATTTTCTCATTTAAAAAAATCAATTATGTATGCTCATATTCAATTTGAGTACTAAAACTAATTCAAAACCATTATAAGTTTCATTGGAAAAAGGTAAGGAGATATAAAGTATAATGGGTAGGGACGAAAAACGATGTCTTCGGCGCAGACACAGGTACGCCAGCACAGCCCCATGTGAAGGCCTTTTTGATTATTCTGATTCAACAATCTCTCTTTCTGATTTCTGAAACCTAATTTTCTTTCTTTCTCTGCTCGCTGCAAAGCGACAGCTACATCTAACATGTTATGGAGTTGGCAAAGAAGTTTCTTCATTCTTGAGCCTGGATTTTGTACTCACTGTGCTAATATTTGCGGCAGGCTTAACTAGCCTTTAAAAAAAAAAAAAAAAACCAAAGATCTGTGCAGAACCATTTTATCTTTAGCCTTATAAAGTACCTGTTTGGTACAAGGAGGGAATGGATTTTATTTGTTGTTATCATTCAATGAATGTGATCTTCAATTTATTATAAGAATATATTTCGCCTTTTCATTTATATCTATTAACAGGCGACTGGGATATTAGTGATTTATGAAGATTGCAGATACATTACAGTGGGGAGGGGGTATCATATTCATTTTATTTTATAAGCTTGTGGGTATGGAGTTGCCAGCTCAGTTGGAAAGGGACCGTCATATAATATTTTTCTGTTGATTCTTGGAGGCAAAGCCAGATCTTTAAATATTTCAAGTGAATCTAGCAGCCTTGCTCAGTAAAAGATGAATTTAGTAATAACTAAATCCCAAAATATATATATATATATATATAATATTGTGGTGACATATGCTTTTGGAATAATTACGTTTAATGACTTGACAAAAAACTTATTCACAAGATCAATACAGAGTATTAAAATGAGAATATAAACTTATTTTTTTTTTAAATAAGAATTATTATTATTCATTATTTATGAATAAGTTTCTTGTCCTCTTGAATGTGATTTTCCTCATGCTCTTTCTCAACTTTCAGACAAAAGGAATTGTTGGGTGATGTGGCCGAGCTTAGACACGTGATTAATCTAATGGTTGATGTTAGTAACCATATTTCTTGGCGTTTGTGCATATCCCACCATAGAATAATTATTAACAACACCATAATTCTGATCAGTCATGTCATGATGTCAATGGTCTAGATTGAAACCGTCCAGAGCCAATTTGCTTAAGGATTGCCTCATTTCACTTCTGCTTGATGCATGGTTGCGTTCTAACTTCTAATTGCTTAATTGGAATACGGCTTACTTCTCTGCAAGGCTTCTACTATATAAGTAGGGGTATTTCTGGAACATTGTTTGAACCTGTTTGCTGGTTTTCTTTGGTTCCGGATCAACCAGTAAGATGTACTAAGCCCTTCAAGAATATGATTTCAAAGAATGAGGCCTATATTTCACATCTAGATAGTGTTACCCCAATTCTCATTTCATATCAAGCGGAAGGAATAATCTGTCTGTGATATTGAATATGTGCAAAACGAGCACCGTAAGCTGGAAGGTTATCATGTCTCTGCTAGTCTAGGGACAGATCAATGTGAGTTAAAGGGTGTTTCTGGATTTCTCTACAGTTTGCTATCTTGGCTTTCAACCAAAGTAAACCAACACCAAACGAGTATGTCCCTTCTCAATCCAGATTCGAAACGCCATTTCTCCACAGGATAGCAGCACGATGAGAGTTCAATGAGTGTTGAATGTGCCATCGGTGTCTCTGCAATTGTGATTCACTGTGGTTCTAAAAGGCCTTGCCATCATGCACAAAAGCTTAGTTTTGAACTGGGTTTTATGCCAAAACAACGCACCTTGGTAAATCATAATGCACTAAGGGAGCTATAATGCCTGAGGTAACACCATTATGGCTTCCAAGTCCATTGTGTTTCCTGAGTCTGGTTTCTTCGTTTTTCCCCCCATAGGGTGAGGAACTAAAGATCGAGCAAGTTGGAAGGTAACCCCATTAATGATAGGTGGGTTTCTGCACCAGCTATGACAGCTGAGTTCCATTCGAGTAACAACGCAGTGCCATATAGGGCTACATGGAATTGTGGCTCTTCGCTCCACCTTTTTATTTCGTTGAGTGCATGTAAAGATATCATACGGCTTGCTTGATTTCCTGTTTGAACGTGCTTTTTTAAAGCTCTTCTATTTTGCTTCGCATAGCATTCATCTCGAATATTGAATTAAAATGCTATCTAAACAGGCAATATGTTCTTAGTATAACACAACTTACTCAATATTTGGGATCTTAGGCTTCTGTACAGATTTTTTTGCAGGTGAGTTCGTCCTAGCTTATTCGATTATTTTCCTTTCATAATCATGTTACTTGGTGGTTGGTTTCTTTTGCTTTTCACTTTCTATTTCTTTATTCGATCTTTTATTCTTATCTTTTGCATTCTTATATTTTAGATTTTATCATTTAAAAATTCAAGTTTTATTCTTATATATTTGTAATAATCAATTTGGTATTTATTAATATTTTAAGTTCACATTTTATTGAATGGTCGATTGCCATAATACTTTTAATCTTGTGATTAGATGGCCATAATTCATATCATTTTTTTTAATATTTTTGTGTAAAAGATCACTTTGTAGTTTCAATAAATATTATGAAAAAATTGTTACTACAATCTATATCCTTAAAGGCTAAAAATTCAAACATTTTATGAAATCAAAAGTGTAACATCCCAATTTAAATTTTAATAGTTAATTTGGGTTAATAGAAATTTAAAAAAAAATAATAATATTTAGAGGTAAAAAAATTAGTAAGAGATGATTATTAAATCTAACTTAGGATATAATTCTAAAAAAAATTTAAAAAAAATTTAAAAAAAATAAAAAATATTATTAAATTATTATTATAATAAAAAAAAGGGAAAACGTATTAAAAAAAAAGGGGGAAGAAGAAGAAGAACAAATGACTTTCGGCGTTTCCGCGTGCCATCATTATATATATATTATAATAATAATAAAAAGGGAGAGAGGAGAGAAGAAATAATAAAAAAAAGATGTGGGACCCACTGAATTTTTATAAAACTCACCCGTTTCCTTTCATTTCTTCAATTCTTTTCCTGCGCGCGAGCTGAGGCGGAGAGAAGCGAGTCGCCGGTGCGAAATAACTAAATTTTTAAGGTAAGAGTTTTTAATAGGATATTTAGGGTGTGATTTTAAGCTTTTCAAGACTGAGTAAGTGTTCTAAAAATTTTTCTCAGTCATCCTTCATCTTTAGTTTCTGATTTTGTAGTGGTAGAAAATTTAAGATCTGGAAGAGGGATGAATTTATGTTGAATAAATATGGTTTTTGAGGTTGTCAGTAGTATAATAAATGTTCTAGAGTATAAAATTATTGATGATCTTTGAATTTGTAGCTTATGGATCAAATTCTAAACTAGATCTGAAAATATATGTTGATTTATTGAGGTTTAGATGATTATTTGGGATGAGAAATGAATTATTATGGTTATAGGATTATGATTCTAAGCTAGAGACTCAATTTTTAATTTTTGGGTATTTTAGGTACGAATTTATGAAATAAAAAGAAAATTTTGATAATAGAAATTAGTTTAAAATTTGATTTTTAGATTATTAATGTTTATTGATGAGTAAAAGAGGAGTTAAAAATTTTACTTAATAGTATTAACTCTAGATTTGTATTAAGATTGAGATTAGGAATTATGTTATATTTTTAATTCTATTATTAGAATTATTTTATTAGATTCAAAAATTGAAACTAATATTTATAAATAATATGTTATTTGTAGATTGTATTATTGGTGAAGATTGTGGTGAGAGAGAAATTTTAAGGAATAATTTATTGAAAAAGTCACGAGGTAACCATGCTTTTAATTTATGATTAGTGTCACTTCATGTTAATTGGGTGATTATTGAGAAAATTATAAATTTTATAATATTATATAATTGTGCAATATTATTATAAATTTATTTGATTATTATGGGAGGTGTTGGGAGATTTGCTATTGTTGTTGTATTTATGTGCCACGTGGTACGCCCCTATTGGAGCTCAATAGGTGGCTTGTAAAGGCTCGGGCTAATCTACCTTTGGCCGGATAATTTAGCACCGAGTGAGGGCTACGGCTCGAGGTTAATGGAGGGATATAAGGATGATTGTTTGTGTGTATTGTAATATTTCTTATATTTGTTGGAATTATATTATTTTTAATTCTCACTTAGTAAGCACACACTTAACTGTTTGTATACACTATCATAAATTGGCTTTGGTTACTAGGATTTTTGAGTCTCATTATGTGGTTAACAATTTTCAGGAGAAGAGCCACGAGTGACACGTGGAGGAGTCCCAGAGGCTTAGTGGTATAGATCCACTGTCTCTTTTGGGTATTTAATTTATGATTTATAATGTGTTATATTGCCAATATTAGGGCTTTTTGTTTATTGTCAATTATATGAATATATAAATGTAATCATGCCTTTCAAACTATTTTTATTTTTGGTACAATTTGGATGACTGTAATTTTAATATTTGGTTTACTTTGGATTAGTTAAAATGGCATGATTATAAGGCCAAATAACTG